CTCAATCCTCACATCCTTGGTCACCAGCCTAAGGTATTCAGCAACGGAGTCTCTCACGTTGTTATGACAGTAGTTCACATACCCCCCTCTCTTACAGTTGAGGATATGATTGTGCTCATTCTTGGCTCCACAATCGCAGAATCTTGGGGTGTTAGGGATGTCCCAACCATACCGGAGATAACAGCATCTCTGAAATCTTACTGTAAGCATACCCTAGCTGTTGAATGGGGAGACATGTTAGCCAAGCTCCTGACCCATGCTCTTGTACCAGCTGCAATGACTCCCTGGTATTCTCATCCACTTCACTCATTATCTCAGCAAGCTCCTTCTTCAAACGTAATTCTTAAACAAACTTGAGGCTGTCTACTCTGCCCTTTATCTTAATTTTATCCAACTTCATCAGGGATGTCTCCTGGTGATAGATAAGGTCAACCAGCTCCTCTGTTTTCTTGACTGACGTCTGGTATTCCTTCTCTGCGATCTCTACTGGATTAACAATACCAAGCCCCCCTAATCTTACAGGTAGCGCAAACATTCTCCTGTGCAGATCAGACACATTCCTACCAATAATTGCAGGGATGAACTTTTCTCTAGGGACTACGGGTGGAAGATGAATAATTGATATTCCAACAGCATCTTGTTCCCTGCATTGTGCTGATTCCGGGAAGCATTTTGTTTACGCTCTCATCATTCTGTAGGATGAGATATCGTTCATTTAAAATTGGGTAATTACAGGCCTGTCAAGGATTTCAGCCTAATTAAGAGCTGATCAATTGCAGCTAGTTGTGCCATATAAGGGATAACTGAGGTCACGTGACATTCAGTCCTATCACGTGACCGCTAATCCTATCACGTGACCTTGATTCGTAAAGCCTCGGGCACGTGATCACATTCGTAACGTGTCGTATGCCGACTAGGAGATTTTGTGACGTCACCAGAGCTGAAGCTACTTGATCAGGCCTTATATGGAATAATATCGTGTATCGGGTGTAATTGGACCCAATTAGAGCAGCTGAGCGCTCAATTATAGCAGCATCTGGTACCACCTTCTGAAACCCAGCAGACAGCTGGCCCAGAGAATCGAAATTAGAAGGATTTTTTATTGATGGAAATCGAAGCGGAAACCTTGTAACCCTATGTTTTCGATGACGCCGAACAAGATTAAACAGGTTATAATTGTCCTACTCTCGTGTAAATTGCTCTAAAACGTGATTGAAATTGTAATGATGCTATCAATTGTAATACAGTTTACAGGTAACGACTGGAACCACTATATCTGCCTAATCTCAGTTATTGTCAATAACGAAGCCTGTGATCCGCACATCAGTCATTGAATGGGCTTGAATTGAACGTATCTTATCTTCTTATCTTATGAGGATTCGTTGCGACGCAACAAGGCCATCGAATGAGTCGACCACCTTTTGTTATTTTACTTCGGCATTACCTGCATTACAATGTAAACCAGCACTTTCAAGGAAGAGCTTTACAAGAAGCCGAAGGATCGTTCCTAACGTCGTGTTATTACTATAAAAAATATCATAGTATCGGGTAAATTTTTTCAAAATGCACTTGAATGTCATCAATTTGATTAGGTTATCATAAGTTGAATAGCTGGCGCATTTACAGTGCTACGTTTTCAATTATTCTACGAACAAGGTCGTAATAATTCATTCCATGCAAATTTGGACTACAGAAAGTTTGTTGGTCATTGGTTTGGTTTCAAACATCTGTAGATTAATTTATGAAAGATCGATCGGCTATATTTCTCTTATTTTCCCCCAGCAGAAAATATATGTTTGAAACCGGACTGATGTATCGTGAACAACCTGTGCTGTAGGGTAAATACCTAAAAAACACTAGCACTCACTTGACAATATTGCAAGGCTGAAAGAAGTCCGTTTGCCTGTACATTTCGATGGTACTGTAATGACTTAATATCAAACTTGAAACCTCGGCCAGCATTAAATCGACATGAGTCGCATGGTTTTCCTTGTGGCTCAAAAGAAAACGAAGGATGTCCTTGTTTGACGGAGGACTGTGACATGAAAGGCTGTCACACGTTCCATCAATAAAATCGGACAACTTCATTGCAATATTGAGAAAACTATTTGAGAAATGATCACTATTCATATAGCGGTGTTACATTGATTTTAGTTACGTTGCAATTTTACTCGACTCTTATCAGTTCACTTCTTATCAGCGCGATCGCAGTAAGTTTTACTGTGTGCAACAGTTACATAACTGTAACTGTATAATACACATAACATTAACTCTGTAATGCACTTCAAACTGCAGTATAAAGAGTACGCACTTCGCACAAATGACAAGAAGGTAATCTAGTAATACGATTTTTGGTATTAATATCTTTAATATTAATAACACGGCTTGTTCGATTCAAGCCCGTTCAATGTGGTCAATACCTGATGTGCGGATCACAGGCTTCGTTATTTACAATAGCTGAGATTAGGCAGATATAGCGGTTCCAGTCGTTACCTGGGGACCCCAGGCTGTAATATCCAGATAAATTGAAGCTGCGGCGGAATGACAATCTGGGATGAGTGCGGCCCAGGAATGCCAGCCGTTACGCCGCTCAGCTTAATGTAAAAACTGTATTACAATTGATAGCATCATTACAATTTCAATCACGTTTTAGAGCAATTTACACGAGAGTAGGACAATTATAACCTGTTTAATCTTGTTCGGCGTCATCGAAAACATAGGGTTACAAGGTTTCCGCTTCGATTTCCATCAATAAAAAATCCTTCTAATTTCGATTCTCTGGGCCAGCTGTCTGCTGGGTTTCAGAAGGTGGTACCAGATGCTGCTATAATTGAGCGCTCAGCTGCTCTAATTGGGTCCAATTACACCCGATACACGATATTATTCCATATAAGGCCTGATCAAGTAGCTTCAGCTCTGGTGACGTCACAAAATCTCCTAGTCGGCATACGACACGTTACGAATGTGATCACGTGCCCGAGGCTTTACGAATCAAGGTCACGTGATAGGATTAGCGGTCACGTGATAGGACTGAATGTCACGTGACCTCAGTTATCCCTTATATGGCACAACTAGCTGCAATTGATCAGCTCTTAATTAGGCTGAAATCCTTGACAGGCCTATAATTACCCAATTTTAAATGAACGATATCTCATCCTACAGAATGATGAGAGCGTAAACAAAATGCTTCCCGGAATCAGCACAATGCAGGGAACAAGATGCTGTTGGAATATCAATTATTCATCTTCCACCCGTAGTCCCTAACTTTTCTCTTATACACTTCTCCAATGGGATGGAGAGGTCTTGGATGGTACGCATCACAAAGGTCCACCGATGACACCGATGGCTTTAGTATACCCTGATAGGGCTGCCTGAGGTTCATCAAGGGCAATATCTGACAACTCTTCTACATCCTTCACCCATTTCTCTACTTTCTTTTTTACATATGTCTCTCTAGCCTCCTCTCCACCTATCACTGCTCCCAGATGACGCTCCCCATCACATGTGATCTCTATACCAGTCTCTCCAGGATATGGTCAGGATTATGGTACCTTTTGCTACTTCAGATGATTTTTTAAAAGACCTACATTACCGTATTTGAAGGTAACCTACATTAGAGTTATAGAAATTTCTGAAACTTCGTTTTCCAATGCACCCATACCTTACTAGCAGTTGAGGAGGTACGGGTCTGCATTGAATGACTCCAGCGGTATGTAACGAAGGGCCCTGCTGACCCTGCTGTGCAGGGGGGGGGCGCCAAATCGTCGTTCAAATGTGGGACGATTTTGTAAAACTTAACTGCAGGACTAGCAAAACTGCGCGTCTTGCTCGATAGAAACTTTTTTTTTGAGATTTTGTCCGCGTTTCCTCTAAAATCAACTAATTTATCTAATTTCAGGAAGGGGCGCTAAAAGGGGAGGAGGGCCAATTATTAGGGGGCACTTTTTCGGAGGGGCGGGGGGCCAACATGCAACGTCTGGGTTCCAGACGGAGGAGCTTGTCTATAAATCTATGTGACTGAACTATCTGAAGTCAGCTATAGGTGGAGATAAAATAAAGAGAATTCACTTTAACTTAACATCACAGAGATTCAGAAATAAAGATTATTAGTTACTTATTATTTAACATATATTATAATAATCAGAATCTTTACACCACAATTGCTAAGTGCTCCACACAATGTTTATTTCACTTGCTGGAAGATGTCACTTATCAAATATTGTCAGTTCTGAGAAAGCTCAGCATATGGCTGACTGCATTTAGCCTCACTCACAATCAAAGTTTTAGTTTTTGTCCTTCAAGACAACACATAATAGTTTATTTAATTTGTCATTATTAAATTTCACTTTGAAATTTAATGTTTTCATTTCATTAAAAATCTCTTTATAACTTAAATCTTGATGGTATTATTCCTTACCATTATACACACTGTAAGTATTGGTCAGCGTTTTATTCGGACAGTTAAGATCAAAGAATCAAACATTGTAAATCTTACATTATTTATAGCAATATTTTGTTTCAGCGAAGGATCAAATTATTACGATTTTTCAGTCCCATCCAAGTTTGCACTGTAGGTAGTAATGCCAGATTAATTAAGTCACACGAGGAGCCAATTTGATGCCTTGCTTACTTTTCACATCATTAGCATCACTTCTTATGTCTTTGATATTCTAGGCATTGTTTCCAAAAAAACATTATCTCTAAATTACATATCCTGAATCTTCTTTTAATCTATTCAGATTCAAGTGGAACGTACATTTATCAATGATGTTAACTAATTTCGTGTAGTGTTACTAATCTACAAAGAGTCACCAATTAGGGAAAGCATAACCTCAAATGTTTCGAAAAACAACAATTTGTAAATATTTCGGCAGTTTCACCTTGGGACACCCTGTACTTTCAATGGTATATAACTACTGTAATAGCAGGCTGCTTAATCAAACCCAGATTGAATCTTTAAATTCATAATAAATGACCCTAACATCTTTCCATAATTTTAGGTGACCAGTTATAGTATGGCACCTCTACATCCTTAAAGTTAAAACATGAATGGTGTTGAAGACAACAACAACACTCCTATTCTAGAGGTAATAACACTGGTTAGCATGAATGTTTAATTGTTCTACCTTCTTCAGTCTCTTACAGAGTAAAATACTTTGATTGACCTACAACTTCATCATATAAGGCTGGATACAATGTACATAGTACCTATTTGTATAAACACAATTTGTTCTATTGTATTACATTCCTCTAACACAACTGTTTCCCCATCAGGTTGATATAGAAGAGGTGAGAAGTACAAGTATAAGCGAGTCATCCTCCAGCAATGAACCTCGTATACGGCACGACAGTACCGTAAGATCTAGACATGACAGTAACCAAGAGCAGAGCACGTCAAGTAGTGTTCACAGCTTTGAGCACCCTGAACCAGAAGCACTCTCTCCTATATCTATAACTAATGGCAGGAAACATCACAGGCGCAATCTCTCCAATCTAACAACTGGTAAGTAACTTCAATTTAAGATAAACTGTTCTTCAAATCATTTCATCATCAGTTCATCAAATACTTGCCCTTCTGATTTTAAGAGAATTATGTAATTTCTAGAGGTCATGCTTTATCGTCAAAGACTTCATGAGCTGCCAAGAATGATTTCAGTTATTACCGTACTCCTGGCCCTGTACTGTACCACATCATGGGTATGGCTTGTCTTGAGGTTCCCACTGAAATTAGATGGTTCCAAAATATCATGTTATATCTAATTTCGTTTGGGTCACCCAGACCTCCTGTAATTCTGAGCCTGTATGTTACACATGTGGTACCATGTGTTGTATGTTTCTTGTTTACGACACATGTATCTAATGTGGTTATTGGTTGGGGAGTTTCTTGCTTTTAACTTTATATGATATATGGTCATCATGGGATTGAACATAACATCTTGTATTTATCAGTCGTTTTTGCTAAGAATGGGAATAAATGATTCATTGCTTTATTAGTGCAATTAGTGAATTAGAAGATCCCAACCAATCTTGTTGCTGACAGTATATCTCGTGTCACAGGATCAGGAAGAAGTGGTTCAATGGACTCGGTCTCACTGGGCAACTCTAGTCTCGACTATAACACCCACTTCACAGGTCAGTTTTCAAGACATTCCACACTTTTATAACATTTTAAAATAACAACAATTGTTTATTTTTACAACACAATCAAACAAAACCAATTATGCTTTATTTTGTTCCATACTTCAATTGATTCTGTTTTGATTGGTGGATTATTGTTTAGAAGTCAAAATTAAAATCAAGCGAGGACAGTTATATGCACCAATTAAATCGGAAGTTGAAATTGAAAACAAGATGTTGGATTTTACAGCAGTGACATTTGCACACATACATCATCTTTTACATTAACTAATCATACAGCATGGAGTAACCCGGATAACCCACTAACCCATTTCTTTTACAGAGCTTCCAAGTCCGATAGACACTTCAACCCTGGAAGATATTTCACTCCATGACGAAGATGACTCAGAAGACACGGACCCAAAGAAAAAACAAAACTCCACAACCAGCAAAATGTCATTGCTTGCCAGGTGCGGTTCGTGTTAAAAAAAATAGAAATTATTGTTATTTAAATTGATATTGGAGTTGATCTTTCTTTTGGACACGCGCCAAGATCTCAAAGCATATTAAGCACTTTGAGAGTTGGGACAGGTTTTTTTTATCAAAAGATTGAAATTCAATCATCTACAGTAGGTCAGTGTCGGACAGTGTAACAATTTAATATCCTGATTGCTTAAAATTGGATACGCAGAATACTGAATTTCTGTGGAAATGCATGGCATTATTCGTTCCAAGGAATTAGTGTAACGTGGGGTTAAGTTATATTATGTATTATATTAGGTTACTTTATGTATTGTACCGTATCCCGGTATCCAGATCGTGCATTATGTTAATTCTTTGCATTACCTCGTACTACGATTTGAGGTTTTAAGGTCTTGCTCATAAAATGGGATGGGAAATTGTCTCAGCATTTAGAAAACAGGTTTCGTGATCTGTTTATAGATCACGTGACTCGAGCGTGATCAAACCTTTTTTAAAGTGCGTTTATGCATGAACATTTGAGATCAGATCAACTATGCAAACATTTTCAGGAAGCTGTTCAAGCGCTCAGAGCCAGTAGTGTTGACCACCAATCTCATCTTTGAAAACAGACCTAGGTAAGAATCAACTTCATAAGATTTATTGTACTAAATTTAAACTAGCGATATTGGTCACCCCCATCGTTCAACCATGTTTGTTGGGTACTAAATACCGAACGGGAGACATGGTTAGCTTATTTATAAGATTAGCTGAACACAATAAAACACATACATAGTATTAGTGTACATACCACAATAGTTTACATACCAGACTGTTCCAACGTTCCGGTAATTGCCCGCCAAGTGGATTCCATGTGACTGTTAGGCTGTCACGTGACATATCTCAAAGGTGTAGAGATGTCCATGTTCAGTACAATGACACAGATGGTCATCCTACTGTATCGCTGTGACGTCACGGATAATAATGTGGAAATTATGCGGTATATCGGCATCAGCAGATGTTTAACTTTAGTATCTACGATTTTACAATTTAAGCTCGAATAGCAGTGTAAACTGTAGCTTAGCGCGAACAATAGTATTTGATACAATTGTCAAATTAACAACAGCTGATAGTTTGACACATGCCCATGTAATGTAAAAGTAGGTGAACATTGTATTAATATTTATAATAATAATAATAATAACGCTTTATTTGTATACCGCTTAGGCCGTATAAGCGACCAAAGTCCAAAAAATGGAGTTGATACTGGCCAACAAAGCGGTGCAGATAAATTTACCTTAGTAGTCCCTTTTCTAATCAAAAATTCAAATTTATAAATTGTAGATTGATCTTAAAGTCCTGCGTCCATGACTACTGAATCACCAAAAATACTGTTCGCACATACAGGATAGGCTTGATGAAATAGATGGGTCTTGAGAGCCTTCTTGAAAACATCCAGTCGAGAGATGGAGCGTAGTGAGTAGGGAAGTGTATTCCAGATTTTAGGAGCAGTGTGAGAGAAAGCACCAGCTGTAGCCCTCAGCCGTGATAAAGGAGGGCGTTCCAGTAGGAAGAAGTCATGGTCCATTCTGACATGATGTTTACTAGTGTCCCTAATTTTGACCATTGTCCTTAGATATTCAGGAGCACAATCGTTTAGGCACTTGAAAACCAGTAACGCTATCTTGAATTTGATTCGCATTGCTACAGGTAAGAAGTGTAATTCAATCATATAGGGTGTGATGGGCTCCTGTCTCAACTTCCCATGAAGTCCGAATATGAATCTCACAGCAGTATTCTGCACTTTTTGAAGTTTCTGGAGAAGTCTTTCAGAAAGGGCACCATAAGTAGCATTTCCATTGTCCAGAATGGAATGAATTGAAGCGTGTACCATTTGGATTTTGAGCTCCTTACTCAGTTTGGAACCTATTCTGCCAAGATTTCGCTGATTTACATAGCAAACTCTGACAACGTTGTTGATCTGTGCCTCTAAATTGAGATGGTTGTCAAAAATAAATCCCAGATTCTTTGCTGACTTGGTAGGTTTAATGGAGCATATAATGCTGTCAAGATTGAATTCAACTTGTTTTGGAGCTTTGGAGTTTGTAGAGATCTCGATTATCTCACTTTTATTGTCGTTGAGTTTCAGGTAGTTCTCACTCATCCATGATTTGATGTGCTCGAAACATTCTTTCAATTTGCTCTTCATAGATTCAATGTCCATGTCGTTCTTAGGATCAAATGAGAAGTATATCTGAGTATCATCAGCATATAGATGGATTTGGAGACCATGCATACTTGCAATATCTTGTAGCTGTTTAGTGTAAAGGATGAAAAATATAGGACCAAGAATTGAGCCCTGAGGAACTCCAATCTCGAGGTCACAGAGAGAGGAATATTCACCCTTAACACCAACGATAAAGGATCGATTTGACAGGTAGCTTGCAACCCATTGAAGAATAATACCACTAAATCCATAGCTATGTTCGAGTCGTCTCAAAAGTCTTTTGTGATTGATGGTATCAAATGCAGCTGACAAGTCAAGAAGAAGAAGAACAGTATGACTCTTCTTGTCAACTTGGAGGAGTATATCATTATGTACCTTGAGCACTGCAGTTTCACAGCTCATGTTTTTCCGGTAACCTGATTGATTTGCTGCGAAAAGATTGTTCTTATTTAGGTACTCGGAAAACTGTGAGTGGGCACACTTTTCTATAACCTTGGAAATAAAACTGAGGTTACTCACAGGTCTATAGCTTTTCAAGTCGTCTGCATCTAGAGAGGCTTTCTTTAGGACTGGTCGTACTATAGCAGACTTCAGAGCATGTGGAAAATAGCCCTCTTGGAGGGATAGGTTAACTATGAGGGTGATATGAGGGAGCAATTCATCGAGGCAGTGCTTGAGGAGCCATGTTGGAAGAGGATCGAGTTCACACGACTTATTATTCATCGTCTTAGTAATCAGGGAAAGAACCTCTGATCGAGTAACTAATCTGAAAGCTGTAGCAGAGCATGGTAGAGAACTATGTGTATCATTAGGCATCTCTAACTCTTTTACACAAGGTTTGTCTTCAGATTGACTATCAGCACTGGACAGGTTTTCCTCTGAGATAGACCCATAAATCTTCTTTACTTTATCGTCAAAGTAGTTTTTGAGACTTTCTGCAACTGCTTGATGCGTGGGCCCAGAAGGGGACTTCTGAGAAAGATCTTTATCCAGAAGGTTATTTATAATTCTGTATGTAGCTTTTGGATCTCCTTTAGCATCTGTAAGTCGTTTCTCATAATAGCGATTCCGTTCTCTAGAGATGATTAAGGTAGTATCTACACAAGCTTCCCTGTAGATTTCTCTATAATCTTGAGCATCAGCCATACCTTTATGCTTCTTCCAGAGTCTTTCAGCAGCTCTGCGCTTTTTACGGGCATCATTGCAGTTTTCATTCCACCAGTCACTACGACCAGGTATACAATAGATGTTCTTAGCTGGTGCATGCTTATTAAGAACTGAGGATATAACAGAATCGTATTTGTCGACTGCGTCATCTAAACTAGTTAGCTGGGATGGAGATGGCATGTGGAGTACAATGTCAGCTTTGAAAGCATCAATATCAATTTTTCTAAACTCACGAACTGTTTTTTGTTCCTTACTTGGCTGCTTTGATGACACATCAATCTCGGGTGCACTAAACTTAACCAGGAAGTGATCTGACGTTGTGCCCGTGTCTTCCACAATTTCAAGCTCTGTGATGTTTAAGTTGTCAGCCGGTGATTCCAATGTTAGCACTAGGTCCAGTGTGCCGCCAGAGATGTGTGTTGGTGAGGAAACATGCTGCTTCAAGCCTTTTGAATGACAGAGTGCCATGAATTGTTTAGCCCAATAGTCTGGATCCTCTACATGAAAGTTGAAATCCCCTGCTAATATAGGAATACCAGATTTAGTTATCAAGGTATCCATGTAATCAGAAAACTGTTCAAGAAACAATTTCTTTCGGGTTTCTTGATATTTCTTATGAGAAGAAACTTGAGTTGATCGATAAAGGACACAAAATCTGATCAAGTGAGATTTTGCTCTGAAGACAGTTTCCAAAACCTCAAAGGAACTAAACTTCATACTGTTTCTTGTTAGGGAGACAACCTTTGGGTCATAGATGAAGGCAACACCGCCACCCCTCCCACGTCTTGGAGCACTAATAATATCATATTTGTGGTCTTTCACCTCAGCGATTTTGGCCTTATCATCAACTCTCAGCCAAGTCTCTGTCAGGAAGCATATATCCACGTTCTCTTCTCTCAGTAGCTCTAGTACAGATACCGTTTTGTTGCAAATGGATCTTGCATTAAAGGTTGCCATTTTCAGAGCATGGGGTGGACTGTGATGGTGTCCTGGTGTCACATCATGTTTTTTGAGTCATATTCTGTATTCATCATTAGCCTCTGTATCTCTCTGGCAATGATTGGACACTCCATTGATGCTGCATTGTGGGACTTGTGCTGTGCTTTATCACTGGGATTCTTCGAGTCTTTGCACCTGGCACAGCACTTTGCTTCACTTTTGGACTTGTTACTGCAATCTTTAGACAGGTGGTTTCCTGAGCAGCGGAAGCAAGTTGGGTCATCAACCTTGGTAGGACAGTTTGTAGAAGTGTGACCAATTCCTTGACAATGGTAACAAAAAACAACATGAACTCGATCGGACACAGGATGGCAGGTATTTCCAAAATAAAGAGCTCTTCCTTGGTCATTCATGATGCAAGATCGGATAGCAGGAGAGACTTTAAGTGCAAATGTGAAATACTTGCTATTTTCAGTAAAACGTGACATGTACACAACCTCCAATTTGTGACCAGCATCCACAAGCTTGCGTACTCCGTCATTTTTGGCCAAGATGGACGGTTTCAGTAGCGATCTGCACTTATCTCTTAGTTTATCATCATCGTCTGCTGTAAGTCTGCGGAAGGCATCGTCCCTATGGACGTTCTCTATTGTTAACTTTGGATACATCTTCTTTGCTTCACGCAAAGTATATCCCTTTGAAGAATCTTCATCAATCAACTGAGTAGCATTTTGCCTTGCCTCTGAATCAGGAAAACCAATAGCGATAGAGTTATTGGATTTGTTAACCTTTACAAAGTCCGTTTGTACTGATGACAATTTCTCACATACATTATTGCAAACGGACTCAGCGGACTCAGCTGTGACATCTTCAGGGGGAGATAATATAAGCACTGAACTCTTGGACTGGATCCTAGAACGAGGTGCCAATTGCTGCATCTGTGGAGGACTGCCCATGGTAGATGCCTGGAATACCTCCTGCTGTCTTTCCTGCGACTTGTTAGTAAATAGATCGGACATAAGGAATTTTTGAGAGTTAGAACTTCGGGGCCCTGATGGACCAAGCTTAGCATCAATAGCATCATGAACACTTTTAAGGATATCAACTTTGAAATCTTTCATTTCACTTCTGAACTGATCACTGTCCATACCACCCGACACAACCTGTTCAGAGTCTGCGTCATTACCCGTCTCGAAGGAGATTTTCTTGTTGTCGGTCAGATTACCTGTAGTTATGCAGTTGGGACAGAACCACCAGGTACAGGGGTTCTTCTCCATAGCTGCAAGGACGTCACTGGAGAGGGGAATTGTTAAACAGAGGTTGTGGTACTTGGATTTACATTTCATGCATTCCAAAAGCTGGTCACCCGGCTGAGCATTGCAGGATTTGCAAGTGCCACTTGAAGCAATATGACCTAATCCAGGGTCAAAATCTTGGGTTTTGGACCACGTGATTAGAAGCTTCCCTCGTGGAGTTCGCCCGTCAATCTTTAACTTTAAGCAATCAGTCATTGTAGTACTTGTATAGTACTTGTATAGTACTTGTATAGAGGTATAGTACCGTTAAAGGCACAGCACCAACAATGTGCAGTAGCAGGGGCAACTGGCAGTTAAAAATTGCCGATATAACAGAGATAAGGGAGCTCTGTTTTCAACACGTAACAAAACTGCAAAACTACATCGTTTATGTCACAACTATGTTAAGAATGTAAGTATAACAACTAACGGTATAACAAATCCTCGTGGGGATTAAGTCCTGGAAACTTTGTATCCTGCTAATTATAATTCTAAACTGATTCGATGTAATCAGAACAAGAATTGCGCCCGTTGTTTCGTTTTGGCGGACGCTAGATTTCCATTTCACATTTACTATAAATTTAAGTATAAGCTCCAATCAGCTCACTTCAATCTTCATGATAATAATATTGATAAAGTATGCATCAAATACGGGAAACACTTGAAATTCAGTTCAATTGCCGTAGAACTTAACTTGCAGTATCTTTAATTCAAGAAATTATCAGCAAAGGTAAACTATACTCGTGTACACATGAATTTACTATGCGTGCCACGTACAAATTGGGCGTATTACCTAATAGTAATTTTATACATTACATGCATCATATACATTAAAACACAGTAGCGCCGCGCATTTATAGATCACAGGCTATCTATACATCACATCTCCGCAAGCAATCCTCGCGCGCGCCCAACTTTTTCGTTGCATGGTAACGAACGGAAGGAAGGACACACGACATATTTAAACCCACCTATCTCGTTCTCCAAATCCACGTTTTTCTGCAAAAACCTCCATTCGTAACCTTTCACTATTGCCTTTTTTCAAAAGGGTGAAAAGGAAAAAATTCTGAGAATTTCAAATCAACTTGCTTCGATACTATTAATAGCCCTGGTAATGAGCTGTATTTAAAAAGAATGATGAATTTAATCGTGGTTTTAATGGTATTTCATTGATACCGTCTTATATAAAGAGATATTTTACAGTTTGAGGAAGTCTACGATATTATGTTATAGGATCTTTAACGTCGGCCATATTATTATTGAATAGGCCATGTAGATATTGACTAGGCCATGTAGATATTGACTAGACCATGTAGATATTTACTAGGCCATGTAGATATTGACTAGGCCATGTAGAATGTAGATATTGACTAGGCCATGAAGATATTGACTAGGCCATGTAGATATTGACTAGGCCATATTAATATTGACTAGGCCATATTAATATTGACTAGGCCATATATAATATATTGACTAGGCCATATTAATATTGACTAGGCCATATATATATATTGACTAGGCCATATTAATATTGACTAGGCCATATATATATTGACTAGGGCATATTAATATTGACTAGGCCATGTAGATATTGACTAGGCCATGTAGATATTGACTAGGCCATGTAGATATTGACTAGGCCATGTAGATATTGACTAGGCCATGTATATATTGACTAGGCCATGTAGATATTGACTAGGCCATGTAGATATTGACTAGGCCATATTAATATTGACTAGGCCATATATAATATATTGACTAGGCCATATTAATATTGACTAGGCCATGTAGATATTGACTAGGCCATGTAGATATTGACTAGGCCATGTAGATATTGACTAGGCCATGTAGATATTGACCATATTATAGATATTGACTAAACCACTGTTACATTAATTGCTCTATATTAGTATCTAGCCCACATAATGATTATCAAACTGTATTTACATCAGTCATGACACCTTAATCGCTATTACACTGAAAGATTCACTATTTCATGGGATTGTTGACATGGTTTGTCGAACTTTAAGATAAGCTAATTTTATTAATACCACATTGGTTCTCCAAGAGCATGGTACCACGTCTGTAAAGTTTTGATGTGACCCCAGAAAATCAGTTTGTCTATTAATTAGCGAACATTATACGACTCGTGCATGTAATAACAACACTAGAATCATGAGAAGCACTATTATAATTGTGCTGTCACCGTAAAGTGCAACTTTGGCACAGATATCTGTATACCTACAGTGCCAAAATTGCACTTTAGGGTGACAGCACTATTATACAAACTTTGTAGCTCAGATCTCAAGGTTAAAGGGCAGCCTTCGCCCTTCATTCACCAAATCATGGGAGAATGGTACAAGCTCTCATTCTAGAGCTTTGAAATTAACCATGGCCGTAATACAAAGAAAAAAGGAAATTGGCACCTGGACAGATAGCTTGATAAGGATTCACCTATATTCTTCCAGCATTACCTAGCAGACACCCTGCTTACCACAATGCCCTGTACGCTACTTTATAATGAAGTAGAATAACCGAAATAAAATATGGTTAAGAGTCATGTACGTGTCATTAAACCGTACTATCAGTATTCTACGGTGCAGCTGACGCACTCTGTAGTGACATATCTCGACTGTCTCTTGAGTATGCTTTTAATGATATCTCTAGTAAATAGTGTGATAATAACTGCACTACTGTAGATATGATAATAAGCTTCGGTAACATTTAACTGAAGCTTCTAACTTAAATTTGAGCTTTAAGAGTTTTGTGATCAAAATATCTTAAGTTATTTATGAGTATTTATGATTTAAATGGTTTATCATCTGAAAGTTCATTTTAATATTTAACGTTGATTTTCGCTAAATATCCCGTTAACCACGAACCTTCGCCTCTCAACGGTGACAAATTGGTTGTTTGAAGAACAATATCCCTATAACATTCGGTTATTAGGGCGCAATTCCTGCATTTTCCTCAGAATCCAGAATATAATCACACCATTTGGAGGATAATATTGACATAGATTATTCCCGAGGCCCTTCTTCTGTCATTTATTACAGTATTGACATATCGATATATTTTGTAAAGATATTGATCGCATTGCAGTGGCATTCTAAAAATAGCTCAGCGGCGCTATCACGCTCCGTGTTGCAACTGCTCAACTGCAATTTCATTTATTGTACCAACTCCTTGATTAAACGTTTTAAGATCAATCAAATCAATCACATATTGCCTTTAATGTAGTGCTGATGATGTCGCAAGTGTTAATATTAAGAATTAAGTTGTAGTCAAAACCACGTGCTAAACTTTACCCAAAACACGTGCTTTGCCCTCAAGTACCTATTGCGTGTTGAATTATCGTGAACGTTAAATCATGTTTAATCACGTCACGCTTTTTGGATTATCTTAAATTAATCTAACACTATATTCAATGTGCATGTTAATATGTAACTTTACACCAACTCTAATCCTCATTACTTCAGCAACCTGCCCGCCAAGAATCCGGAAGAGGAACAAGCTCAGAGGAAAGCGTACGAGGAAATGGTAGCTTGTGCTAAACGCAAAGGTGGGATCATCATGTCTGATATACTATTGTGCAGAGCTGATAGATCTGGTTAACTAGATAATCGGTTTGAGTGTAGGAAATGTGCCACCTAGATATATCTTAGTCCAATGATAACTGTGGGGGGGGGGCATCACTACTGGTGCAGACTGATGCGCTATTAGCACTTTTAGCACTATTAGCACTACTGGTGCAGACTGCAGTGTGCTATTAGCGCTACCAGTGCAGACTGCAATGATGACTTACCAAAAGTCACACGCTGTCACTGTTTTACAATCACGAGCTTTATTAGAAAATCAGCACAACCACTACTTGTTCACTTTGCACTACTCCACCTGTCAAGAAAATTGAGAAGAAAGTCGAGAAACTGCTTCAAGTTTTATAATATAAGAGCCATCAACTACTTTAGTAGCTCACCTCCCTGCACCACCCCATCATTCCCTGCAACTCTCTTTTTTAATTTAATGTGCATTCCTTGACAGTGAACCCTCCTTGAACAACCACCAGTCTTGTCACTACTGTCTCTAAATACCTTTACTTTGATCAGCAACTGTAAACTACCTTAATACCAGTGTATTTAGATACACAGTCATAATTACACTACTGCTAGTACAGAATGATGATTACAGAGAAACGGATTACACACATATACACCATGTGCCTACTCGTCTGTGCAAATCATCTTGACACACAACCCAGCAGCAGCAATAATATGTTGTAATCCCAAATATGTTGTAATCCCAAATATGTGTGTGTACTGTATTATTGTGATTATTGTGTTACACAGGTAAGCAGGTATGATAGTTATGATAAGGTCATCTTCAGGACCTGCAATCCCGTGCTTATAAACTACGTGTTGGATTGTAGGAGCAACATTCCACTTCCTACACTGCAGGTTTAAGGGCGCGTCATAGTCTAACTAGATATTAATTATTAGGGGTATAACTGTCTTACTGTGACCTGTGTTCTCCATAAAGTAAAGCAAAGTAAAGTAAAATGTATGACATCACATCATCACACATGTCTACAAAATATCATCGCACTAGGCACTAATGCACTATAGGCAAATAAGTAATAAATTAACTTACTTTACCTGGTAAGATACATGTATCTTGTTTGAGCTAGTGCCTGGAAATACACCCTGGAAATACACTACACATTGTATTATCTGGGTTGATTGTTGTTTTTTAATCTAGGAAGTAGATTTATAGTATTTATAAGTATAACTTTCAGCTACCCACGTACGATTATGTACCCCAAATTTAGTAGTTTATCCCTAGATGTCGTCCCCAAGTCACCCGGCCCAAACTTACATACATTTTAATAGTAGAATATTATGCCGACCAACTCAAAGTATCGAACCTGCATTATTGCTTGTTGTATATTTATATGTGGTTACTTACCTGCATGTTGAAGAGCCATAATGCATTAATGCTGTAATGCAACGAACACGAAAATCCCCTACAATTGTTGTAGACGTAGTACACATTCCCGTCTACAATCTAACATGATGTATGTATACAGTGATACAGCATTACAGCTACATATTATCCTATACAATGAATAATTCAACAGTACCACATATATAATGAATAATCACTGAACTTACACACAATCTGTAATTTACTCCTGCGCATAATTTAGTCCTTATCTGTGAGCACTGAGATAATCTGCATACAATTACCAATCTGTCTGCTGGGACTTCCGGTCTTACGCTAAATTTAACTTAGTTGTAAAAGTAAATGTTCCTGATGTTGTATCAGTATCTGATATTACAGTGTAATAATAACAGTGAAAATGTGCTGTTGGAATGTCATGAGATACAGCATTGGCAGTGAGGAGTGTTGTTAATGAATCAAGAGGCTTACACGTTGGCAGCCTACAACATATTATATAATAATGAGTTGTGCAATCAATTTAACACTAATCGTTCCTAAACGGCTTTCTTGCTGGTAAATCACACTCTGTACCTTCAACCTTTACTTGGTGCTCATTTCCATGTTATTATCAGGTTGAATAGTTGAGGTCTTTTCGCAACTTCATCTTTCTTTAGTTAAAGTGCTTGGCTTTGATCCGCTGATAGGGAGGTCTACATAAACCTGAGTTTGGAACACGCGAAAAAGTTTACGGTCAACTTAAAATGACGCCGCTATTCGTCTTTGTGTACGGCGCGCACGTGCGTACGTGCGGTCGCGTGTGCACGATTACGATATATTAATTTGATTCTGAGGAACTAAGTTTTCGTTGTCATATGCACGATAATTCGAGAGTGAGTATTTCACGTTAATTGTATGTTTATCCGAATAAATATGAACAAAAGACCACTGCTATGCTTGCAGGGGACCGTCAATAGTTCGCCGAAATGATACTATCTTTTCTCACAGTTTGAAAACACATAACGGCGAGAACGATTGTGATCCCAAACTAAATTAACAGTTGATCTAATTTCAGAGGTTGCAGAACTAAAGAAGAAACAAAGAGCTGCAGAGGAACGTAAGAAATACGAAGAATCCGTCGCATCGTGCACTAATGTATGGCTGAAGGAGATCTTACCCGAGTGGCATCTTGTAAACCACACTAAACGTGTCCACAACCTCTGGTGGCGAGGCCTGCCTCCCAAAGTTAGGGGCACTATTTGGAAACTAGCCGTCGGGAACGAACTCCAACTCACTAAAAGTCTGTATTACATCATGGTCGACAGAGCACAGGACACATTAAAGTGTTGTAAAGATAGTACTCGTATCCAAGATGAAACAATGGAAAACGTCAGAGATATCAGACTTGACGTGTTGCGAACATTTCCAAGTCTTTGTATATTTCAAGAGAATGGCCCATACCATGAACAGTTGCTCAATGTACTGGGCGCGTACGCGAGTTATCGACCTGACGTGGGGTATGTTCAGGGGATGTCATTCCTTACAGCGGTATTGCTGCTGAACATGGACCCTGCTGACGCTTTTATTTTACTTAGTAACCTCCTCCATCAGCCTTGTCAGCGAGCCTTCTTCCGTATGGATGCTGATATGGTAAGTTAATGTTGTGTTAAAGTTAATTTGGTTGACCTTCCCACCAGTATGTTGTGAACGAGCTATCAGTCAAATTGGATAGGTAGGAAATTGTAGATACTTTCCTGGCACTTATTCATGATTATAACAATTTAACACACTCCTCACTTTCAGATGTTCGTTTATTTTGATGTGTTTAATCTGTTCTTCGAGGAAGCTCTGCCTCCCCTCTTCAATTTCTTCACCCACCTCCAACTTACTCCCGACCTTTATCTTATCGGATGGTAGGTTTATTAAAAAACAAATTCTAACCCCAATTTATGGTTTCTCTTGGATGTGTGAGAAATGGATATATCATAGATTTCATCCCATTAAATATTTGTTGTTTAATTTTGTTATTAGATATTTCCACTCGTGATTCCTCTACCAGGGTTTTCACACTGTTCAGTAAATCCTTGCCTCTTGATGTTGTTTCTCGTATATGGGATGTCTACTTCAGAGACGGCGATTCCTTCCTCTTCGCTGCTGCATTAGGTAATCAGACTAAGAGTTTAAATAGTTAATCATTTGGATCTGACCATGTGATCGTTAAACGTTTTGAGGTCACTCGATTTGATAACTGTTTATTTATGGTCTTTAAACTTGATTGGGAACATATCATAAACTTACATCACCCGCAGGTATCTTACGGATGTACATGCCGCAACTACTCCATATGGAATTTGAAGTAATACTACAGTTCCTACGCAAATTACCAGGTTAGTGCTCTGCCTCAAGAATTGACTCCAATTTTTGTGGTAACCTTGTAACCGAGTGTTTATGATTAATCATCTTGTCTGAAGACTGAAATATTGTGTTAATGGTATTAAGATGAGTTTTCTTTTTCGAAATTGTCGCTAAAAAGGGGTAACTTAGCGGAACCGTTCTGTAATGCTCTCACCCTTACCCCGCTATAATTACAGAGGATATGAACGCAGACGTCCTGTTCGAGCACATCAAAGCTGTGGGACTGACACCTCGCAAGTTCCAACATACCATGGTTGAGCTTGTAGATATGAACAATGTGGAGAGGAGAAAGAAGAACGCGGCTATTCCCGCCACGAACTGAACTTTAGGTATGAGCCGCTACAAGGCGAGCTGTTCAACATGAGAAGTTTGAGTCTAGGATGATTAGTTTGATATGAAGATAGAAGAAAATATGTTCTCTCCACGCTCAAATCCGTTGATTCTGTGTTTGTGGGCAGCCATTTTCTGGTAGTTTACAAGAATATTGCCAGCCATTGGGACCGGATTTGTTGATGACCGTTTCACCCTTTTGTAAATATTAAAATATAGATTATGCCGACCCGCATTATAATACACAGTTTCAACTCTCAAGATCTTAAAACCGCTCATACTACACTGTAATATGGTTCGGTTATTATTAGATTTATCCACACTTCTTGCAACAACTGAGTGACTTGATCTTTCTTTATGTTTTACGTATCGGCCATCATTGTTCTGTGTTTAAAACCCATACCATTAAAAAAACCATATATTATCAACTCTTGTTAAATAAATAAAGTATAAGATTGATTCAGAGAATTATGTTTTGTGAAATGACAGAAAACTTTTATGGGTACGGTTTGATATTTGCATGAAACGATCCAATAAATGTTTGAATTTCTAATTAGAATCCAGATTTAGGGAGGGTTTCCATTTTATGTCAGCACCTTAGGTAGGAGCGAGGGAGGGTGGTTTCGACGCGAATGTTCTTTTCGCACGATAGCCATAGTAAAATAGGAGGGAAAGGGAGGGTGTGAAAATGGCCAAATATTGCTGACCTAAAATGTGAAACGTCTCTTAGTGTTTTGGTAACATTTTTCAAATTTGCATCAGCTATTCAATATTCATAAGTTATAATCATCAATTTGAAATCATTACATTGAAGCCACGTATTACGACTGTTATGAGAATAGTCGTTTCCAGAATATTTTAAAACTTTGATTGTGATTAATGTTAAATATATTTCGACAGACTTAGCTCAATACTTTAGGTTTTAATGATATGGGCTTGACTTCTGCTAAAAACGTAAACAGCATTAGGTTTGACACGTGACAGCAATTTGACCAGCCAGCCTAAACAGCTGTAATATTTGAGTTGATGTAACGGGTCAAAGCTATTGTGCTTCGCCTACCCAGCAGTAGTCCAGTTCATTATAGTTGCAATGGTTTATGCATTATGCGTACATTATTAATTGTTCATGTGTTGTAGAATTCGTTCATTTTAAACTAAAAGTCAGATTTAACAGCCCTATAATCTCGATATGATTATGTAAATATGATTACACTGTTACTAATTTTATTTATTTTTGTATACAACCAAAGATATCTGTTTACTTTTGTTTTGAACAGATGAGAATTTGCTCCAATGTCCCACCACCAAATTCAGAAGCTCAGAATTAAAGCCTCAACACGACATCATGATCCATGATATTGACAAGTTATGAATACTTAATCCTACTTTCTGATTACAAGATTACGTAGCCTCGACGTGTGCTACTGCGGATTTAAACTGTTTGAAAAATACACTCAATACATATTATCCTCGAGAGGTGTCTAGTCGTTGTTTACTGATCACTGATGGAAGGTATAGTTTTAAAAGATAATTTGTACACCATGAGCTCACAATGACGTCAATGACAATATTCAACTATACAATAATTTCAGCAATCTATAAGAGTATATGACAACGTTTACTCGGATTGATACATGCTTTCTTATACTCATACTAAATAATATATGCATCATATTCTCAGCGGATAGGTACTGGCTAGGAAAAGCAATTAGTCAGATCAACAGCTCGCCAAGACACCAAAGTCTTAGCGGGGGCAAAACAATCTCGAAGATTGCTTCACACATCGGCTAGGTATCAGTTGACATCATCGTTAGTTGGTACATCCAGTTAGAAGAATGTGTCTCAGAGAGCTACAGTTTCGTACATCGCATGGTTGTATCGGAGCTGCACGTTTTTTATACCGTGCTTTAAAACACTATTCCCATGGGAAAGTGAGGCCCACATTGTACATGGTTATGAAGGTGCTTCTACTTCTAGAACTAGAAGCAAAGTTTTATAGTTTCACAAGATTTCATTAAGAAGCATTTATACTAATATACTAATAGTTACACTTAATCTCTGCAACTGATAGTAAATGTAATGCATAATTTCGATCGCGTTGTACGAAATCTTATTCTAAATTTAACTCAAATCGTTCGATGAAAATATGTAAAAGATTCCGTGAAATAACTATAAGCGAAGCGCGGTTACAAGATCATGATATGTATGAGTAAGACTAAGCACTAAGCACTAAGCAAGGTTATTGTTTGTTATTATAAACATTATAAACAAGTGCTTGATCAGACGGCTCAGTTAGCCAATCTCAACAGATTTGGGTTTTTATCCAAGTTCGTTATAATATTTCGTTATAAAGTTATGTATATAAAGTTTCGTTATAATATTCGGATTCCTAATATGGCAAAAAATTACAATTTATGTAAATTTAGATTGTGTAAATTTCTATTGTACGCAGTAGTAAGTATGCACGATATTATTCACATGATGAAAGCACACTAAACCGAATTTTTTAAATTCCAATACGGCGCCGTGACACTGACATTTTGATTGTTTGCTCTGCCCTTGAGTTTGAATGGTGGTTTTTAATAATTAATTTTACGAACTTGCCAGAGCTTTGCCGCTTTATCCTTTCAATTATAATATTCTATTTCTACGAATTTAGTTGAACGTGAGGTTTTTAAGATGGGATGGTCACGTTATATCAACCGTATGCATATTGCACATGGTAATACGACTCCTGTCCGACAGCGACTCCTGTGACCTGTCCGACATGAGCACTATTTTCTTGTGTTTGAAGTGATATCTCAAATTTGGCACATACAAATTCACCCAAACTTGCACAAATTATTTGTCTTAAACTATACTATCTTACTATCTAGAAAGTTTCAAGAAAATCGTATCGTTGGATCTCCAGATATATGCCTTGGTACCACTGCAAACCACCGAATTGGAGATATTTTTTGTGTTTAAGGTGATATCTCAAATTTGGCACATAGAAACTCGCTCAAACTTACACAGATTATTCGTCATGTAACCACCATACTTTATGGAAAGTTTCAAGAAAATTGAATGGTAGGATCCGAAATAAACTATTGTCCGAATAACCTATTTTCTGAGTCGGACAGGAGTCGCTGTCGGACAGGAGTCGCCCAATCATTGCACATTGACATCCGTTAAAATGTACCGGCCGAATTATTGGTCAAATCGGGTGTAACCTTTGTATGTATACTGTTGGTTTGAAGGTTATTCAATGTCAAACTTAGTACACTTGACATGAACAAATCACTACATCTTATTGAATTTAATGGCAAAGTTTTTCTATTTAAATTGATTTAAACATAGTAAAGCATAAAGAGGACACTAGATTCGACCGATTGTTTTACCGATCATTATAAATACCGGTGCACACAATGACATACGAGTAACCATAAGTTGCCACGAAAAGCTGCAGTCCGTTTTCAGTTTTACTTTTACACGGATCACATGAGACAATCACAACTTACATTTTAATAAAACTGATGTCTAATACATAATAGGCTAAAAATACCACAGTTTTAACCTAGCATGCACATGCGATCCGACAGATTTGACTGCCAAACCGACCAATAAACCACTTTCAGTTTTAACACTTTCAACACTATTAATATTATATAACAAATATTTTGAGAATATGAGTTTGACGTAGAAATGTCGATACGTGATTTATCTATTTACCTTCATTAGAACATTGTCATCACTGACTCTGAGTCTCTGTCTAACCAGGAACAAATCTTGAAAGAATCGTCAAATGAGACTCAATAACACTACACGACTGAATCACTCTTTCAGGCCGATATTAGACATGATACATAGTCGTATTATATAACATATAAGAGAAATTATTCCTACAGTACAAAACTATGAATTAGAAAAACGAATGATCATGCAAAGCTGACGTTTAAAAATGGAAGTCAGGTTTTGTAAAAATGAAATTTCCATTGTGCCACGTGTATAGAACTATTAATGATAGTGATTAATCGTAAATTCTAACTGAACATCAGGAAATATTGTTAATGCTGAGTCAGTGAGTGGGTAGTACGGGGACAAGCACATCGTATGATACAAAACTATTTCTGTCACGTGACATTTATCTGTATTCTGATTGGCTCGCCACACCCAATCAGCTATATTGATATTAACGATTAAAGTGAACAATGTTGCATTGTAAATTGTAATTGTTATTATTAGATTGTAAGTTTTAAGTTTATTCGGAAAGTTTAAGCACACAGTTTTTGTCAAAATCTGTGCTCACATTTTAATTTACTCTCTACTTCTTGTTACCAGTCTTACTCGTGTTACTACACTAGCAATCGTTAGCAGAATCAATATACAGCTCAGATCAATCTTGTCAGAACTGAGAAACATGTCATTCGATGAGATCTGTCACAAACACCTATACCTCGGTAAGCTTTCTAATCAAATAACATTAAACTTAAATAATTGATTGGGTCTTCTACATTCTAGAACTATCTCAACTAGATGAGATCACATTTTTGGGCATTTTCTTATCGTCTATAAAACCATCTCAACTATTTGAAATTAAAAATTATAAAATATTTTTCCAAAATCCATCCTGCCTCACAATCGAGACCAAACCCATTAGTTTAATTTATTTCTAGAGGTCATTGCCATCATTCGTCGTAACACTATTTAGCCATAATTATATTCACAATAGGAATGATTTTGAATGATCTAGCTGCTAGCACAAAATAAATGCTAAGATGTTGACAAAAATCATGTTCTGTTGTTGTAAAATAACATATTATATTGCTCTATATATATATCCTATATAATAATAATATTATTGTTAAAGATGATCTTATTATTTATTAAATAAGGACCATCGCAAAGAAAATCGCACACAGCGACCATCTATTCCTTTCTAAAACTTTAAGCACTATCCTGGTGCAGGTAACTACGGCTCTATAAAGAAGGAGCCCTGCAAAACGTTCGGAATTAGTCACGTGGTCAACTGTACACGTGACCTGCCTCCTCCAAACGTCAAGACTGTTCAGTTCCTCAGGTAGTAATCAGATTGAGATAAATTGTTTTTAATTTGTGGCAAACTGCCTGCAATTGTGTGTAATATCATGTTACAAATGACCATTTAGTGAGTTTATATTAGTAAATAGTACATTACATGATATAATGCTTGATGTGGACTAAAATGGCCAAATAATAATTTCTTCACGGACGTGATGATTTCCTCACGTTTTCGCTCCACTATCTGCACCCGTCATTTCATTTTCAGGGTACCAATTGACGACAGCCCGAATGACAAAATTGGGAAGCACTTTGAGAAAATGACGAGGAAAATATTTGACATTATTAAGACAGGAGGAAAGGTTTTGGTGACATGCAGAGCAGGTGATTAGAATATCAGACATATTCTGATGACAGACTGACTGTGATTATACAGCACATATTTTGTTACATATTATGTTGTTGCAGTAGTTCAATGCCTGAATCTTTGTGTAGATAAAGAATTTAATGTTTCAACTCTATTATTTCAACTCTATTATATGCTATTTCTGTTCTCTGTCGTCACTGTTATAGACGTAAGTTGTGTACAAGAGGCTCAAGTTCGTTGAGACACATAACACTGTGACAGCCGTTAACCAATCAGCTCTTAGGATCAACAGGTCAAATCGCAGGATTGATGTCACATCATGCCAAAACTAACTGACGCCACTTCCCTACCAGTGGTGCAGGATCAAATTATTTGTTTAAATAATATTTTTTCAGGTATCAGCCGATCCACTACAATGGTTATAGCATTCCTGATGAGGTACCACAACATGTCGCTAACAGACGCCCACAGACTCGTTAGAACACAGCGACCCAAGGTAAACCCTTGTAACAATACCAGCACTAGTTTTAAGCTCAATAATATTTACTACCACTGATAGCACGATCCCTGCTTCGGAAGTCTAGCCTGTATGTTTACGTCATGTAACATACATTTTTGAAACACCCTGTATTCATCCTTTCCTGTAACATTTACACCGTGTCGTTGACGGTGCATTGTTTACTAGTACAAAACTTTACAGGTTCGGCCGAACGATGGTTTCTGGAAACAACTGGTTGAGTACGAGAGAACGTTGTTCAACAATTCAACAGTACATTTCATCAGAACCAAGGCTGGGGTTATACCCAGCGTTTATCTTGTGGATACAGCCGTACAGATGGCTACTGAAAAACAAGAAGCTACTTGAACAATGTGATACTACCTGAACAACTTTGTCAAATCTTCTTTAACAACACTCTTCAACAACATTATCTAACAATGTTTTCTAAACGTTAACGGTATTAAGAATGAAAATGTAAAATCATCTGGCTGGCTAGGTGACGCTACAATTATTCTACAAAACGGAACATGCACATCCGATGACAAATTGCTGACTTATTTAGCGAGGTTTACGGGCTAGTTAATGGCTTTGTAAACTTAAAATGTATTTAAAGTTAATGTACAAAAGCAAATTTTTGTGTATTCTGATTCAGTTCTTGCGTCAAATGTAAACAATCAGTTTTAGAAAGTTTGGCTTTAGAGGATTTAAAAAATAATTCAAAAATATAACTTTAGTTAAAATCAGATCATGATAGAAACCCAAATATCGAGAATTAAAGTCCGTACTGGCAAGGTAACAGTACAAGTGGCGCTGCGAAAAACTGTCCCTCGTGTCTATCATCACCAAGCTCAGGCGGAATAATAAGGTCAAATCTTCTAAGTGGTCAGGGCGGGGAGTTGGAGATTGATTTGTTGCTGTTTTAGGATACTCAGAGCCGCTTCCGTATTCCCTGTAAAAATTAATTAATCTAGAAAGAGGCCAAAAACTTAAAAGTTCTTCAAAGCGGCATATGAACTGCTCTGAGAGCTCTGTACAACCATTAGAAAAGTAGCTTATCTTACCCTGTCGGAGCTCGATGTAAACAAGTAACATGGTCGCTTGGGCGGGAATCTCGCCATCATTCAGGGTGGAGAGATGCTGCGCCAGGATCCGTTTCGCTCGGTTAAGATCTCGCTTCATACAGTACAACGCTACGCTGTTCAGAATGATTATGTTGTGGACGTCTTGGACCAAGGTTTCTTGAGTTGCTGGCACCTTGCCCGGTATAGGACTACTACCTGTGCTACTTGCGTCATCTTCATTGGCTGCAACACAGACAAGTCAGAAATTCATAACATGTGGGGGCTACAAATTAATCTAGAACAAAATTTAAGTTGTAATAACAGCACATAAAATAATAATTGTGGTCCTACTCACTCTTAGTTTGACAATTGGCGGAGTTGATGATAGCCCCAACAAACTCTGGTGCTAAACAGTTTGTTGCCTCGTTACTACGATTCAGTAAAATGAGCGCTTCTGCAGCGTACACACTTCCCAACAACCTGTAATTAAGAGAGTTTTCAGCTAGTACACAAATAAACTCAGTGCATCCTATCATTTAATGATCATTTATCATAACATGATAATGAATATATTATGGATAACATCCCTCCAAATGACGCCAAGCAACTGCAATAATTCATCTCAACACATACAATCTCCAACAATACTAACCTCAAATTAACAGGAGCAGCTGTAAGACTGAACAATTCCTGGGCTGGTTTCAGGGCCTGTAGAGGGTCTCCCAGTCCTAACCAAACATATGCAAGGTTACAGAGAATGGAGGCTCGCAGCTTCGAAACGTCCTTTAAAGGGGCAGCTGGGAGCGCACTCACATTCACCGGGCCTCTGAGGAGAAAATTAGAGAATGTCATAAAATATTAGAAAATATTGCTTTTGATTTTGGCCTTTGATGATATTGATTGAATTTTCGGGTTTATTGATTAGCATCGAAAGTGTTAAAATAAATCAATGTTTAAAATAAATCTAACAATAATTATCTGATTTCCAGATTTATAACTAAGAACAAACCCGCTGTTAGAAGGCGGAAGGAGCTCCAGGGCATTGTTGAGACAAAGTGCAGCGTAGGTGAGGGAGGGTGTAGGTTCCTCGCTCAACAGTCCTGCGCTGAAGAGTTGTACTTTTTATTGATAACTGCTTTAATTGTTATTTCCTTCTCTTAAGGTTAGAATGAAGATCACATTGGGAATTACGTATTTCAAAACCATAAAAGTGATCTGATTTATAAGTCCTGTGATCCACTAGTTTAAATAACTGACATAATGATACACAATACTTAAGTACACATTATGATCCTTTTATGGACTAAAATTATCATGAAATCAAATTACCAGTTAAAGAGTTAAGTTATTAATATATTGTGATTTCACATCGAACCTCTATTACGACACCTGGCCTGATAATCTGCGGAATACTCCCACAGGACGCAAGCCTACCAGCTCCTCTGTAAGAGCGTCAGGTCACTCATATTACTCCCAACTCAAAAGTCGAAATACGAACTCAAAGTAAGATTACGTGATTGCATTTTGCTATATATATCACTTCAGCCTATGCTGTAACCGCCTTCAATTCCCACAGCTTCTCTCGATCGTATTTTACAACTTGTATTTTTTCTTTGTGCACCAGACTTATGGCATAGGAAGACATGATGAACTACGAATTCGATGCTAAATTAAGTGCAGCTCTGAATGTTTTGGTGCCTGTATTGAGTGCCCTAGTCCTCCTGCTAAGCCTCCTTAACACGTACATTATCGGGAGGCAAAATATCAGCCAGAAGCCTTCACTCCGAATCTACCTCAACTTGCTGACGATTGACTTTGTCACAGTTCTAGGAGGACTATGTCTGATAATACACCTGAAGTACGAGTGGAGCCTGGCGTCGGCGCTGTTTCGAACCTCAAACTGGATGACATTCTACAACAGCCTGTTTCTATTCTTCTCCCTGGCTGTGGTTCGTATTCTCATTGCGAAAGGTAAAATTCAAACAAATGGGACTAGAGTAGCAGTGATTATGATAGCAGGATCTTGGATCACCACCATCTTCATCGTCACGGTACATCACATGGCAAGTTTTCCGGACTACGAAAAGTACCCAATCCCCTCTGCAATCCAATCCATCCTCATCCTCCTAATAGGAATCTCCACTTTGGTAATGAACTTCTACATGATAATCCTAACGCTACGTACGAGCACCCTCCACCCTTCCCGAGCCTCTGCTAACATCACGGCAATCCTCCTCTTCTCAAACTGCTTCCTCTGCATCCTCTTCCCCCTCATAGTTAACGGTTACTTCCTCAAGTTGTACTTCTCAGGAGAAACCTGTCCAGATCCTGATGCTATCCTGAGTTGGTTTAACTTCTTCGTGTGTACCAGGGAAGGGAGACACTACCTTGAGCTTGTATTTCTCTTGGTGCAGTCGGTGGGGAACAATGTTATAATGCTGCTCCAAAAAAACAGTAGAGATGAACTGAGGGTCTTGTGGCAAAGTTCAAGATGTCCTATATTTGGGACGAACGAAGATTACATATAAAACTGCCCGTATTATTTGAGAACTTGATTTTTGTTATTCATAATTAATTTGAATATACTGAAGGATAAAAGAAGAAGTTAGTAAAATGAGATCTTCGTGATTTACAGATCCTTGACCAACCTGCATTTCTTGGGATGATTTTGGAAGTTAGTATTGAGAATGGTTTTTCTGTAAATTCCACTTCCCACAATTGCTTTGACTGTGCTACTCTTACAGTTTTGAATTTGTTCGTTTTCTTGAGATTGCTTTACCACGCCAATAGCACACTCAGCTATCCGTAGCCAAAGTCTTGGATTCCGAGAGTAAACAGTTGCGGCTTGAGATAGACAGTTGAATGCAGCTTTCGGTTGTCCTGAATTAGTTATCACAATTAAAAAAGGAACCGAAATACAAACCACTGGTTCTAAATTAGCCTAATACTTACGACATCGGCTGTAGGACTATTGAGCGGAGGACTGTTGAGCGTAGGACTGTAGGTCGGTGAAGGTCGGAAGTAGGACTGTAGAGCGGTGTCAAATCGCCAGGGTAGGACTCTAGAATGTCATGACCATAATCAATAACGAGTTACAATGTATAACTTAGCTTCGTTGAATCTTCAAATTTTCAACCGCTATAGAGTCCTCATGTTATAGGAGGGTACCGCTCTACCGTCCTCATGTTATGGGATCTAGAAGGGAGGGCCGCTCTACAGTCCTTCTTCCGACCTTCACCGGCCTACAGTCCACCGCTCAACAGTCCACCGCTCAATAGTCCTGCTCCCGACTCTATCTACTGAAGCAGTTAGAGACTCCGACATCGATGATCAATTGTAGACTACGTGCTGATGTGAAGTTCTAGATCATTAATATGAGATCACCTGCGTGAAGAAGCACGATCCCGTAGTTGTAGAGTATTTGATAGTGATGATTGATGCTATACATCGTACTGTTACAACCTGAAACACAAAATATTGTTGATTGGGACTCGCAACCAAAACTCAAAATTATATTTCGGTTGTCGCATTGTTATCACGACATCCAGAAGGCAGGAACAAAGGCGTAACTTGTGATACAATTAGCTAATTCGATATAGCACATTTCTGATTTCTGACCGTCTTAGCTGTACGTAAGTGCATGTTGCTACAAAATGGCTGAGCGCGGCTCTTATGTTATGTCGCGTCGTGCGTGGCAGGCTAGGCGCGCGCGCTGACGCCGCGCAATAATCATGCTGACTAACAGAAAATTTTCTAACGCGTGTTCCTTGAAATAATGTCCCGAACGCACCAGTAATGTTATAGACAAGAATTTTAAGGAAATGTCGGCCCAACTTCAGATTGAAAATGGTTCAAAAGTCAGTTCCTTTCATTCGAGTTAGTACCTAATCTGGCTTCATGGTACACCGTAATTGGTTGCAGTGTGATGAGATTTTGCTGAAAAACAATTTTATTATTTTACGGCAACAAAATGTTGTGCAGATAAATGTTCATAGTCCAGGCGAGAAATGCACCTCCTCGTACGCACAGTAGATGTTCTAGTCAGGAATTGTAAGAGAATGCCACACTATTTCAGAATTCAGATGCTATAATATACCAGTAAGTTCCTTTTATTCAACGAATAAGAAGTTTAGTGACCCAATATGTCACATGGTATTACATTTGTACACGAAGATATGTCACACGGTATACGAAGAAATCAGGAATTGGAAAAATATGTGTTGTTACTTTTTCAAATGATAATTTTGATTAACAGTTTACCTTAAGATGCTGGTGCATTGACATTGATACATCGTAGTTAGTTTTAGACTTTAGTTTGGTAAAAGTTTGCCGATGAACAATTTTCCAGGTAACAAACTTTGTGCAGTTTAATTTTTAGTCCAGGTGAGGACAGTTCACCACCATCCACCATGGATCAAATTAGTGTAATTAGATTTCTACAGTAGGAACACACACACCTACTCGTGCGATATGCAGAAATGATATTTAAATGATATTTCAAAGTGTGGCATTCTTACAATTAAGTGTGGCTTTCTTACAATTTTATTAATTTTGCACCTCCTCCGCCGCAGTCACATGTCTACTCTCTCATTTTCATTCAGAAGAAAGCGCCAATGATGACATGGCGCCGGTCTAGCCAAAACAGCAACCTGACTAGTGAATTTAACAAAAAGAAGAGTCGGCAATTAAGTGGTGACTAGTTGAACGAGAGAGCAGGAAACAGCATGACGATGGAATTTTTTAGAGGATTAATTTAACTCCTAATTAATTTGACTCCTCTTTAAATAAAATTATTAAATGTGTTCTTTGATCTGCAAGATTTGAATGCATAATTTTAAAAATTCGAATACTTTTAATTGCGTCTATTGTCAGTCAGACGAATCAGGACAATTTCGAAACATAATTTCTAATTTGCCGCTGTAAATGCGATCATACTTTCACCGGCGGATATTTAGAAAGACAGATAGGTTGGAACTTATGTAATGTTATACGTACACCGACACTGGTTGTGGCAGGTCATTTTCTCGCCATTAAGCGAATCTCCTTTTTTTACAAATTACACCGATATCTAGTACGTATTTTATAACCATCACAAGTACTTGGCTGTCTACACTAAGGACAGGGAGGCAGTTTGTTTTGACACGTGACATAAACTTCCGTTTTATATAGATCCCGGCTGATCGGTATGAATAAGGCAAGTATCAACAAGCTGGTATAGCCTCCCCACCCTAGAAGGTACGTGACACTAGGTACAGTCTTTGATTATAGGATATCAGATAACAACAAACCAATAATATCTGCCCTTTTAGTCGCTGTACTCTTTGTTCCCACAGTAGCGGGAATTTTTGAACTCTTAAATTCCGAACTTATCTTATAAGATAGAAAATACCTTGAGGGGCGGCTTTTACTGCTTTAGTGTTTGCCTCCAATGCTTGACTGAGATACAGAACTCCCAAATTGTACTTCTTCATCTGTTAGAAATGTTATGGTTTAACATTTAATATACAATACATATTATATGGTCAAAGGTACGAAAAAATTAACGAGATTTAGAAAACATTCCGCAAATAGATTGCACGAATATTTTGCATTTCTGTGTCGGCCTCAGTCAGTGCACTCAACCTATCAACAGTTAAAACTAGAAGCATAACATAACAGTATCTTACAGAACGAATATAACCGTATCACGACCTGAACAACAGGATGAATTACAAAACGAAAAGAATTTCAAAAATAACATCTAATTATAAAAGTAACAAATTTAAGAGATCTAACAAACCTTGAAATGCATACACCCAAAGTTGTTGTAGTAGAGTGTGGGTATGTGTTCTTTGCTGGGACACGATTTGGGAGCCGAGTTCAGCAGCTTGCAACTCTTCTTGAAGTTATTCCTCAGGTACTCGAACTCAGACTTCAAAAACAGAGACGATGCCGTCTGAAATTGTTTTTACTAATTACCTTATTTTCAGTAACCTTTTTGATTCAATTCTGCTGATGGCGAATTGAAAAAATCTACAGCTCTTAAAATGTGTTTTATTATGATTTTTGGTTGTTATCTTACGGTTCTTCTCCACTCTACAGTTGAACAAGTAACACATATGGTAAGCGGGAGGACATTATGCTGACTCGTAAATAAATTACCCTAACTATAGTGCTTCATTACAATTGTAATGAAACCGCATTATCAAAGTCATATTAGGCGACACATTGTAAACTTAGGGAATTCTGAAGCTGCCTTTATATAGAAATGTATTAATAAGTTATTTATAAACTATTTATAAAGAAACATTATATCGACTCATTCACACATTATATGTCGATAGTTCACCATAGATCCCAGAAGACCTATAGCATATACATTATATTATATACCTATAATGTGTAAACCTCGCAATATGTCTTATGCTGCTAATAAATAATCTTGTCGTGAGAATAGAATTAACCTGAAATTTCTATTTAATGGGGGCAATATTTTGAACGATTCTATTTTATATTCATTTATTGCTATACTCTGTACTAAAATTTGAAAAGTATTTAATTTAAAAAATGTATAGAAGTTAATCTACAACAAAATTGTACTTTTCTTACATTAATACTAGAAAACTAACCGTTCCAGAAACACTGAGAACGTTCTTAATTTCTCTTTTGCACGCCTTAAGACACTTCTGTTGGGCAAATAACCTTGTCTTGTACTGGTGCATTCGAGCTTTGTGCATATCACCCTGAAAAAAATATCTTTTGTTTAAATGCAATTAAAAAGTTAGTTGTTTTATTTAAAGTTGGCTGCGGTAAATGTTTCCATGTGCACATCATAATCGGTGTCTGGCCAACACAAATATAACGAACAAAAGCTGCTAAATTAACAAAAGCACCGACGAAATAGTTTTCACAAAACTAACATCAGCGGTTTTGGTGGCCATCTGTTTGTCAAGATAGTACACGACAATAGCAGCTCCCTCGGTCTGATATGTAGATAGATAACACTCCACCAACAAGAAGCAGATCTTGTATACTAGACCCTCCTCCAGTGGCTCTATTAACTTGAACAGCTTCTCTAGGATCACCACTGCTTTGTCAAAGTTCTTCGTTTGGAAGTGCACTAGGGCTATGTTGTAGAGGAGGACTGCTTTTTCTACTTCGTCTATTTCCTCCTCCTCAGACTCCTTGTTCATCTGAAGGAAGGGGGTCAGGGGGTAGGCTCGGTAAGTTGGGAATTTGGGGGTTGTTAGGTAATGTTTATCTAATGTAGTAGCAGCTGCTTTGTTTCAAAAATAATGATAAATTGTGGCCTGTACTTTAGCAAACAAGATGTTGATCAATGATCATATTCGTGAAGTACCATTACAGAGATGAAAAGAGGGAAACGTTTCAAAATCAGAAATGACTTTTACAAGTACGAGTCACCAGCCACGTACTGTTTAGTTTTGGTGTCTGTGGTGAGACAGTGAAGTATGAATGAAGTTAAGATAAGAGGTCGGAACGGAGGAGCGATAAAAGGTTGCCGTGGTTACTGGTACTGGTACTGGTACTGGTACTGGTACTGATACTGGTACTGGTACTGGTACTGGTTACTGGTACTGGTACTGGTACTGGTACTGGTACTGGTACTGGTACTGGTACTGGTACTGGTACTGAAATACTAATTACAGGTAGTCAGCCCGGTTAAACGACCAATTATCCGGAGTTTCTCCAGAAAAACCACTTCATTTCTACTTCAGTTCTAATTTGCAGGAGTGCCATTTAATTGTGATGACGTTGTAGGGCTGCCGTTTTGTTTCAATAAATTATGTATCTGATTACTGTGCTGGTTATTAAACCTTTCCTGACATGTGACAACCATTCAGTATCTACCGGTTGGCTCCCAGTATTAACCAATCAAAACCTGGAATCACTGTCACGTGTCAATATAAATATGGTTCACTTCCCCACAACTTACTAGTATCCTAACATATATAGTTTGAGGAAGCCTGTTGAAATTGGCAGAGTAAGATAGAGAATGATGGTGATCTGTGTAAGTTTATTATTTGCCACCAGCCACAAGTGTTACTTCGTTAGCGTAAATGGATCATTACAGGCATTACAAGTTCATTACAGATGTTCATCTTGTCGTAAAGTTGTGTAAAAAATGTAACGGACAGTGATTCTAAACTTACGAACTTTACAATTTAAAGATATTTAGATAGGATTTTCAGCTTGATCTTGATGTAAAGTATCCTTTCAAGATATTATTTTTATGCACGTTACGGTTTTTGGTACCAACACACAAAGATGCATAATACATATGTTTATTCGGTCATACATCTGGATCCCGACGGCACTGTCGCAGCACTCTCGTAGCACTGTCAAGGCACTCTGGCGGCACTATGGCGGCACTATATGCCGCGACAGTGCCACGACAGTGCCATCGCGATCGGGATACGATATACCGTAATATGTCATAATATTTTATAACGTCATATTATCATTATGTTGATTAGTCAATCAGCTAATTAATTAATTGACTGATTAATTCTAACCTTGCCCTCAATGGTGTAGAGATTATCCAGAAGCCACTCCAGATCATGTTCGGAACCTTTCTTAAGATAGCTGCACAGAATCATGTTCAGCTGGATCTGCTAGTACAGTTCGGATTATGAAATAAAACTATCGTATATTAATATTAATATTAATATACGGTAATTGTTTAATGGTAATTGTTTAACAAACATAACATAACCGTGCACGACAGGGCGGTGAAAGCAACAAAATACTACCAAAATATTATTAAAATATTACCAAAATATTACCAAAATATTACCAAAATATTACCAAAATATTACCTTGATGTTAAGAGCTGAGGTAGAGTTCATGGTGGTAAGGGTCGTTAAGCAACCTGAATATCTGCCCTCGTCAAATTGAGTCTTGGCTACCTCAACCGTGTTGATTGTTTCTTCTCCAGTCATTTTCAAAATCGCTTGATGCTAGAGTTATCAGGGTTACATTTTAAATCATGATAAAATAGCAGTAAATTCTTTTTATTTATTTATTGATGATGGAATGAAATTTGAGACTAATCAGAAAACTAGAGTTTCAGATTTTAAGCTAAATTCGGTGTAGTCCAAGAATTTAGTCCGTCTCATGTCAACAGCAAGGCTTTAAAAACTAAAAGTTTAAAATGGAATTCATTAAACTGTGATAAATTTATCAAAAAGCCATCTGCTCTGAAATATGTTCTGTCACATTGTATGATATGTCATATTGTATGCTAACATAAGTTAATGCTAAAAGATTATCGTATTATATCTATCAAATATATAGCCTTCCGTGCAGACTCTAAAACACCAGCTATAAAATACATCCACTGTCACAATAATAATATAACGCACAAAAAATTACTACGGACTTATATTTGAAAAAGATATATCATATAGAATATGGATTCGCTTATCCAGTTAAAAATAAATTTCTAGAACAGAATTCATTCAAACTTTAGGGGAGAGACTTTTAACTTGAACTATCGCTGATGCAAGTTAATGTCATTTACCGATTGTAGGTCAACAATAAATCGATAAAAATATTGTCACATAAAAACAAAACACAAAATTCTGTACACACTAGAGATAAAGATAAATGTCAGTGCTGAAATGATGATAACTATATGTATCCTCCCCACTCCCCCAAGTCCCCATACTACTGTCTCTTTATTCCACCACTCTATAATTAATACTATACTTCTTAGTCCAGTCCATTACCATTTGGTAACGTTAGAAGTAATTTATCTGATTCACTGCTAGGAGGTAATCTTCGAAACACCAAAGTCTTGTTATTAGAGGGCATATCTACCACCATTTCCAGTTTTAAGCCGTTCTCTTTGCTGATTTTCTGAGGAAAATAAACATTATTATATGTATGGTATATATAATATAATACCCTTAAAATATAAATTAAATTATTGACACAGACAGTTAAAATTTCTACTGATAATGTTATATGATATTCGTACAGGTAAACTTCATATATGCAACGACAAATTAGTTAGGGTCACTTTTCAATAATTTTCGAGAAAATTCACGAAATATTTTGCGATAATTTTTATAAAAATTCATGATATTTTGCTTTAAAAACTTACTTTCAGAAATCTGATATCCCGTAAACCCCATTTTGGATTCCGTGATTTGAGGGAATTATGAAAATCGACATTGCTCTGAGGACTGATAACACCATCAACAGCGTATGGTCCATATGTGAACAATAGTCCACCAAATGCTAACAGCTGACAGAATGTGATGAAACTATGAATAATGTTTATCGATCGAATATTAATTAAGCATACCATCCAGGCTATTCTTTCACTCGATTGTTCTAGCTCGATTGATCTAGATATAATATGATGATCGATATACCTTTTGTTCAGATCATGTTTTTATTAGCAAGGTTTGGACTAAAAATACTTATATTGTGTATATTATATAATAGCATATACTTTATCTACAATATTACACTAATGATATTACCTTGGACATGTTCTTGAAGAGACCGTGTGTACATTCTATTGGAGAGATATGTATCATGTTGACACACAGTCCAACATCATATTTTGCAAGATATTGTGGAGTAAATTCCCAGTCTTCCAAATTCTTACTGATGTCAACTTTCTGAAGAACATGCATTTACTAATTTCATGTGACGCTTCATCTCAGAAGAAAAATAAAAGCAATAATAATATCAACGTAACGATACAACTATTATTATATAAGTTACATTGGAGTGTACTGAAAAATCTATTGTATCATAAATTATGAATTATATCAGGAAAATTAAACAGCTCTCATCTAAAGTAAGCATAAAATCTCCACTTTGATTTCAGATTGCTACTATAGTTATCGATATGATGAACAGTCTGCAAATGAGAATAAAATAAGAGCAAAGTTATTAGTCCATACTGCTTACCTGAGGTGTCTTCACGTTTTTCATGCTTTTGCAATGAAGCTTGATATCGTTTAATAAGGATCCATCAAATTCAGTTGGCTCCCAGGAGGCACTGGAAAAGTGGGAAGCAAATGCTTTGGCATGCTGACCAGTTCCTAGATTGAGGAAAAAAGTGGTGTTTATTTTTTTTAATGTTTATCACAATTTTTAACAATGAGTTTTGTGATATTACCCACATTCCACAACCCCAGCTGAATAAATAAAATACCTGCTGCAACTTCAAAGACTTTGATCTTGTCTGAACGGCCCAAGAATTGCTTGAGAACTTCGAGGATATCTTTCTCATTCCTTGAAGCCGATGGATAGCATTTAGCCTTAGGTTCAGTCATCTTTTTAATATATCTGATGAGTCGTATAATAAAAACAAAACATTCATATAATACAGTTCACATTCCTGGTGTAACACTTAGTCAAATAAGTTTATTATTATCATAATTTAATGATGCTTCAAAAGTGCAGGGGAATATGTTGGATACAATGAGAATAGATTCAAAGAAGACATCTAATCTAATAATAATCTTGTTCGTCTTTAAAAAATGAATGTTCTTTTTTCACATTTTTATTCATATTTTGAATTCTTGGATCGATTCAAATTGTAGTACATTGTGTTTGGCCTTAACTTGTATCCTTTTAAAAAGGGTGCTCTAGCTACTCAGATGACCGAGATATAAGGCCAGATACGTTTGTTCATTACATGTGATCAGGTAATTACATCTGATGTGTTGTATCATGCGATCTGATACATTAAATGATAAAGAGAAACATAATAAATATCTTAGGTTTAATCTTCATGTTGCTAAAAACGTTTTATTAACTTATAAGGTAGTGGAAAGCATACACTAATCAAGTGATGCTATTGGCAAAGATAAATACACAGGTAACGGAGGTTACCAGGTCGGAGATGTCCATTGCTACCAATATTGTAAGTGATTTTAAATGGTTCCCATTCGATTTTGGTCGGAACACATCAACATAGTACAAAATCAAGCAAATTATTGTCAATTGTAGCACTATGCACTATATCATAAATACTGGGCCGCACCACGCATCCAATAATGCTTCTCGCAACCACAACTTCGTTAGATCAGCGAGATGCACCACTGGGCCATGCCGAGCTGCAAAGGATTGACATTGTCAATTCTTCAAGTTATAGACATAACTTGAATATTATAGCGGGTTAATAATAACAATAATAATAAAATTTGGTAGCTTAAACACAAACTCTAAGCCCAGTGGATAAACCACAAAACTTATGCTCTATTGTGTGAAACAAAGATACTAGATCAAGATAACTATCAAGGAGTGTATGCATAGGACATAAAAAGTTTTGGAACGAAGATGACATGCTTGTGAAGCGAGCTAACAGTCTAATTGCTAATAAGTTCAAAAAGATCATGACATTAGGTTGCATCCTAAACAGTTTAAGCAAATAACATAAAGTTATTATATTTATGACTGGGAAAATTAATGACCGGCGGAATTTTCCAAAACCCACCACTTTATCCCAGTCATAATATATAATAATAATAAATACAACTTTTATAAACCGCCTTATAGCTAAATCATATAACTCGATATAATTTAATCCTGGAGATAAACTCCAGTGCTTTCTAAAGCGGCTCTTACATTAACTGAGCTTAGTTTAATTGAAAATTAGACATGACAAGTTCATTTTACCTATGTAAATGCAAAATCAATCAAATGCTAGAGAAAAGAAGTATGTTTTAAGTTTGGTCTTGAAAGATGTAACTGACTCAGCTGATCTTATGTCGTATGGCAAGGAATTAAATACTTTAACTGCACAGTGACTAAAAGCTTTCTCTGTGTTTACATAGTTATATTCCCGAGTAAGGTATGTATCAAATTGAATGTGCCTTTGGTGGAGATATAGCATGCCTTTTTAATGTCAAATATGTTTTTTATTTGAAGGTTAATCATTGCAGGTTTATAACCTACCAAGACACGCGCCAAGTTAGACTCGTTGGAACAAATATTTTACGAGTATCACCCGTTAAGTTAATCATTTTACTATGTATAGAGCGAGACGATATATACATACATATATATATTTTTAACTAATTACTAATTTTAAACTAATTACAACACTACAAATCTATTACATTTATTGAGGATGACTGTAAAGGTACATTTTACCGACATTTGAAGTCAAGGCGTTGTTTTACTGATAGTTGTGGCTGACTAATAATATATATATATATATATATATATACATGTTTATTGTGGGTGGCGTCGTCTGCTGACAGTGCTCAATCGGCAAGCCGAGAGATTGAAACGACCTGTTGAGTCAGAAAAATATTTCAATCATGATACAAAACCATGATATCATCAGTGACAACCATTTTACTGACACGACAGCATCAATTTTAGCACAACTTTCCGCAAGATATATACAACTTAAACATTTTTGACTGGTTCAAATGATTTGATGCCTTCTAATCAGCACGAAAAAAATAGAAATTGGCCACGGAATAAAAATTTTAGTGCCCAAAATTTGGACCCCCAAGTGGTGTAAAAAATGCTAAATTTATAAATAGTTCATTAATAGATCGACTTTCACATAGCCATGTGTCTACGCGTACTGCGTGACGCGCTTGTTCGGTCGCGCGCTATTGCAAGCTCTGGTTAGAGCAAAGATATAGCATATGCCCTTCTGCTATTTTGCACGTGCAATGGGCGTATTTTCTTACTGGGCCGCGCTCAGCCTGTCATTCCGCCTAATCTCTATTATATTAATGAACATAATAGCCTGGGGTCCTCAGGTAAGTATTTTCACGTAGAAACGTGTACTGTTTTTTGATAATATCTTGATTCACGATGTCAATCCTTCGCAGCTCGGTGAGGCACAGTGGTGCATTTCGCCGATCTACCGAAGTGGTTGTGAGAAGCATTATTTGATGCGCGCGGGACCTTCACATAGCCATGTGTCTACGCGTACTGCGTGACGCGCTTGTTTCACAAGTAGATAGATATGCAGATAGATATGCCTCTTTGCCGCCTCCGGCGGTCGCGCGCTACTGCAAGCGAGAGGGCTCTGGTTAGAGCAACGCGGGACCCAGTAGTGCATCGCGCTACAAGATAATATCTAAACACATGTTGTATCACGTCGTGACCCCAACGTTCTTTTCACTGTAGTGAGTTTCAATGCGATACAGGGGGCCGCGCACTTGTGTGCGGCGGGTCATACAACGTATGACAAAACACATGACAGTTTAAATAATTTAATTTTAGTTGTAATTGTTTATTATTCCACTGGCCTTTCCATGTTCCATTGATGTATATGACATGACACAATAATGAATATAAATTCATCACAAAAGAATCATTACTGGACGGCGCTCAGTAATTCTGCCTAATCTTTATGATTATGAACATAAATATCGTAGCCTGAGCACTGAGGTCCCCAGGTAAAAGAATTACAATTTTGAATTGAGTTCATAGAAATCTTAACAGGTGATACTCGTAAAATATCTGTTCCATAAATTGGACCGTCGACGAGTCCAACTCGGCGCGCGTCCTGGTAGGTTGTTCAAACCTACAAGGCTCATAATGCAAATGATCAGGGTAGCATGAAACGTAGATGGTAGTGGGTAGAGAAAAGTGTTTTCTAAGGGAAAAAAGTCAAAGCACAAAGGGGGGGGGGTCAGGCCAGGCCATGATTACGTAATATTGCTGTCAGGATTGACCATTGTTAATGATCTGGCCCGGCGCGCGCTACTTCGTAGCACTTGCCATCGGGCCATTAACATTTCGAGAAGAAAGCGGCGCGCGCTACTTCGAAGAAATTTAGACGAGTAACATCCGTCAATGTCAGGAGGGAAGGGTTGGGTCTTGATTAAGACCATTGTTAATCATTAATGATCCGGCCCGGCGCGCGCTACTTCGTTGTAGGTTTACAACCTACCAGGACGCGCGCCGAGTTGGACTCGTCGACAGGAACAAATATTTTACGAGTATCACCCGTTAATTTCTTGTCATACGTTGTCAGTTGTATCATGACCCGCAGCGCACGAAGTGCGCGGCTCCCCCTGTATCGTCAGGAAACGACCGTGGGTGTCACAACGTGATACAATTAACTTCCATCTGTTTATGATTAGAAAAAGCATGGGGTCTGCATATTAACGGGTGATACTCGTAAAATATTCGTCGATCTCGAATATTTAACTCGGCGCGCGTCTTGGTAGGTTATAAACCTTTAAGTGTCCTTTGATTTTATTTGTGGAATACAATAGTAGGTGGGGCACGATAAAAATAAACTTGTTCGGATTTAAAAATTTTTGTACCACTGTTTTCTAGATAAGAGACTGTGAGAATTGTCACAATACCAAATTTGTCATACCTTTTTGGAAAGATCAGTGAGTTTCGCCTAGGTGCCATATTTGATGGTGCGCGGCCTTTTGAGCAAAAGTAGCCGTAAAAGTCGCGTTATTTGACCAAATTCATCCAAATTTGACCATTTTTGTCGTATTATTCGGATATATCTTCAGTTCCTTAAATGAGATCATTCTGGAAATTGGCGACGACCTTCCAATAGGGCTTTCACAACTGTCCGAAAAATTTGGTGGATATCGGAGTTGATATAGTGATCAAAATACGCTTCTTTTTTTAGCTGTAACATAATGTCTGATGGTTGGATATGCTTTACATTTTTCGGACCCTTTCCTTGTAAGTCTATGAGTAAGCTTACCAATTTTTGTTGCAATTGGAGGTCGGGAAGGATACTCAATATCTATTTGTTTGAAGAAAATTGTGCTGGCCGAAATTGGCGCTAAAAAACCATCCTACAGTAGGCACGCGCGGCTCACTGTTGATGGCGCACTACATAACAATAGCGATGTCGATCCTATCTGGCACAATCCAGATCAAGTGAGCATAGTAACTTCAGACTGGATATTTTTGAGTTTTAGATTTAGATATTCTGGAGAGATTGCCTGAATGACCAAGAACTTTCCTCTTAATAACACATAACAGTAATAGTATACAGTAAAACCGCTGCGCTCTGTACTGTGAATAGCAAATCTCCTATTCATTTCCTTTGACCGTGTTTGGTCACTGCGTGCGGAGACTTGATATACAATTGGATTATGTTGCATTTGGTGGTGATCAGGTGATGTGAGTACATACCCTATCGCAATACCGCACAGAGCGGGTTTACGGTATATATTTCGGTTATTCTCGAATTTGCATTGCAGGATTATTGTCACTACGCCACATTTCACCATTGTGACAATGCAACTTTCCTTGGTTAATGAAATTCTCGAATATTGTAAATCAATTTATTTTGATAATCAAAGTGAACAATAACAAAATATAACACTAATTTGAGGGACAGCATTCATCAAGACCAAATCATGGATGCCTATTGTATATTATATTCATATTTATATCGAGATAAAAGTTAACTGCACACCAACCAAGTAGCCCAAAAGTAACCCACATTTATTATAATCCTTTCGCATAGGCCAAGTAAGGTATACGAAAATAACCACTGAAACTACGAAAATTCATCATCAATTTGTCCGTTTTTGAAGTTAGCGAAGCTAAAGTGCTCTCACAAGAAAATAAGCCAAAAGTCAAAATCCGGATTTGGTGTGGTAATTCCCACGATTAAAATCGTACACAAAACTCGGCCTGGGCCGAAAGCTATCTACAAAAGGGGTCCACTTTACTCGATGTGTAAAGCTTTTCAAGAAAACACCCGTTGCCAAGCAACCTAGGAAGAGTCCATACAATTTGTATTAGGGAGGAGTCCAAGCACAGCACAGAAAAGTAAAAAACGCAAGAGTATATGTAGTAAGATCCATAGACAACATCGAGTAACAGCGATCTCACGTCTTTAACTGAAATAGTATAGGTGTTAGGATGAAGGGTTATTCATAAACTTACCAGTTATCACCCAAAAAGGAAAACAAGTCGGTAACACCATAATATGAAGTCCCCTCAGCTTTATCAAAACCCCTTCGGACGCGATGCGTGAAGTATCCAGAATTTGACTTGTAACTTAAAAAGCCTTTTTTCCCCTTTCAACTTTTAGTTCACAAGATAGGTAAACTTACTACTGATTGGAAAATCACTCGAAATGATCGATCATTTTCATATTTATGGGAATGTACGATAGTATAAGTGACGTACATCAATCTTTTGTATTGTATGTTCAAATTAGAGGGGAATTTTCACGAGATTTTTAAAAATTGCAAAATTGTGCTGACGTAATTTTATGTAAATGTTCTATCTAAATGCGAGCTGAGGACCTTAATAGAGAATACCACAGAGGTACTTAGTCGACATTTTATAAGACCAACTTGCTGTACAATTATATATTATGACATGTTTAAATCTTGTACAGTAAATCCTGTCATTTAACAATTATTATAAAGGTTTCAAAACATTACTTACCCCGACCAAGATAAAGAAGGAGTGTGGTCGGTCACGTTGCGTACTTTTTGGTCCATTCCCGGGCGACTTCCTTGTACTTCTTTAGGTCTGTTTTGTACATCCTTGCAATGTCTGGGACCAGTGGATCATCGGGGTTTGGATCAGTGAGGAGAGAACAAATCGACAGTAGAACTAGGGGTAAACAGGGTATATTATTGATCACCCGTTTGGAATTCATGATCTGCTTGGAGTCCGGGTATTTAACACTGTAACAGGAATTTATCACATAAAAACTAGCAAGCAATATTGGCATACGGATTTATCGACATCATACACTCTTATAGCATGCACTTTCTAACTTGATAAAATATAACTTTACAGGGTGATATCTCACCTTTGGAGATGGTTAAGGCTGGACTCCATTGCGAACGAAGAATGTCTAAACATATACTTCCATTACTATTGATGTTAGGATGATATATCTTCGTTGTAAAGCTCACCTAAACAGGATGTAGTGTGTTGAATAATATGACCGATATAGTAACAAAACGATACTATCTGACAATGCTTGGTGGTGACAGCCTGTACAGTACGAAGTTACGCTATATTATGTAGAGTTTCAACAGTAAACAGTGTTAACAGTTGTACCTTTGGAGGCTTGAAGGGGTAGTCTGTTGGGAAGTGAATTGTAAGAAAGAATACGCCAGACTGATATGCGCTCTCTTGCTGAAAATAAGTTAAGGTAAATAAGTGAGTCTAATTGAGGGGGTTATAAGGGATAACGGCGAGAGGGCTGGATGGAGTGAGTGGTTTTCAAACTCATTAAATAGCAAGATTTCTGTAGAAATGGGCGGAGATGATTTTATACTTCCTGTCACTCCAACCTGACGTAAGATGGACCCTTACAAATCCGGTAAGTTAAGGGAGAGGAGTCGGGTTACAAGATATAGTGATTCAGTAAATAATCGCTAATCAATATCGAATATATTGATGGAATACTCGTCAAAATTTGAGAGTAAATGGACATCCAATTATATGATATTGATATCATTGTCTAACACAATTAAAGTTAATGAAGGAATCACTTCTAGGGATAAGAATTTAAGAGGATTATGATAACAGGATTGCTGGGCTGTTGTAAATCAGAATAGCCAAGCCTTAGCGAAAGCTTATATTGTATGTGTAAGTTTGCAGTAAGTTTAAACGTGAATAATCAGATAATTATTTCAGCGTCCTCCCTTATGATAGGAGAGTTCGTAAATACTCACCGGGCCCATAATGGTTGCTTGCCAATGAAACACTGAAAATATGGAACTTGTTAATGCACAAATATACATTATCGATTTAAATCAGTGGTACAATTGGTTTTGAAGCCCGAACTTAAGCTTTCGGCTAAGTAATATTGTTGAATGATGTGACCTGAAGAACGTATAATGTACATCCGGCATGACCAAAGATCTATTTATATCGAATATATGAGGATTCAGAAAGATAACTAACATTTAAAGAACGTACGTGAACAATAACGCCGCGCATGGCAAGTATTCAAATCAAACTTTACATGAGACACGCCACATAATTAAAGCCCTAAATGGCCAGCATTCATATTTGCGCGCCGCTACGCGCGCCATTGGTAACCGAAAGCAGAATGTGTAACCACACAGGTTACTGTAACATCATGATGTAATCATGAGAAACGGGAATTTTGAAAGCTACACATAATTAAATAAAGAGATAACCACACTGTCGTACTACATTCTTAGCTACACTGTAGCAACCTAAGCATAGAAATACTTTTGGTGCAATTATCGCTGTCACAGTGTTGAAATTTTAAATATCTTGTACAAATTATGCGGTTTCAGTACATTTCAGGTCAATTCTGTGTACTTTCCTGATAACAATATGTCTGGAGAAAGTGTGACAGTTCAGGAAAATAGCCTCAAAATCCGTGTAAATGTGATATCAGAGCAAGGAGTGTATTCTTAGAAGAAGAGGCCAGGTATGGTGGACTGTTGCAAATATGTACTGTCCATCTGTTCAACAGGGCCCATAATCTAGGCCATCGAAACTTTTAGCTCACCAAAGTGTAAAAGTGTGGTAAAATTCCTTAAATGATCTCGACAAAAGAGAAAGTTTCCCATTATTAGACGTCTAGCCATCAGTTAGGGGAAAACCAGCCCTAGTTATCTCTATTATCTCAAGAACATCGAGATTAATAGAGTTTAATTTCATTAATTTACTTCAAAATCCCCTTCCTTTATCATAAAGTAAACGATGTTTGAAAACAACCTTTAAAATAACGGGTTTTAAAGCGTCAAAAACAGGTTTTGAATCTTTTTATTTCCATACAGACTAGTAAAGTTATGGCCTGTTGCAGAATGTAGATATCATTGAAAAACACATGATGCCAATTACCATGACCCCTGCAGCACACGTTTTGCTAGAATGAAATTCCTTCGCTACCTCTGATAACAGGTAAATATCCGGCCTAATTTAATTTATCAACCAAATATCTCAGCGGATTTAGTCCCGGTGTTGGCTGCAAGGTACTACACCGGTCACCCAGATCAATTTACTCTGTAAATTTAAATACAGCTGTAACCTACCAAACTGCATAAACTGCTCATGCTATTTAGCATTAATATGATTACATAAGTAACTTGAATTTAAAAGGAAGAATGTAAGAGGATCACATTATATAAATATCGTAGTCACCTCAATACCGTTGAAATGTAAAGTAACCAAAGTGTGTCTGAACAGCATCTTTCTAATTAAGCTATGTCTACGATTTATGATATAACAGTGGCAATCTGGTAAAACATCATATCCGCAAGATCACTTTTAAAGGTAAGCTAATGACAATCACCACAAGTATGAACTGCTTAAAAGGTCACCCTCAATTTGCTATTAAATTAGCGATCATGTAATACCTTCATTTTGGAGAGACAGTTTGGATTGTACTTTTTAACACTGTTTAAACCAGTCAGGTAACAGGTAATTATCTTTAAACTCAACTTTAATCTCTCGAGAAGGATCGAGCAAAATTATATTCAATATGCAGTATGCACGACTAGCAATTGTTAGCACACCATAAAATCGATAATGTGTGACCAACTTTGATGTTAAATACAATAGGAGTGTATTGAAATGATATGCAGTATTGTAGGTAGTGGTATTAATAAAGTAAATGTGAAAATAAAACTTACAGTCATCGCCGACGGGACCTGCACTACAAAGGGCTGGAGGGTCTTTACCCAAATCAGTAAGCTCCTGTGAATAAGAAAGTTTAGAATGAAAGTCTGGCTTATTGCCAATCATGTAATGATATGATTAAATTTAAGTCGTACGTCAACTACTTAACGATCATATTATGATAAGATCTGTTCTCCCTCCGCCTTCATCTTAATTAAATCAAACGATCAATTTCATGGAAAGTTCGATAAAATAAATATCAGTCAGAAGCTAGAAGCTGTTTTGCATTGACGTAATTGTATTGCTGCATTTTCGTAAATCAGCGAGCAGCGTCATCATACATTGCATATTATCCTTCATATCTTTCATGCAAAAACTCATTATAAATAAAACTCTCTACACCGACATTTATCGCACTTTTTGCTGGACAAATTTAGTCAGTTTATTCAAGACAATACTAGAGGCCACATCAATGAAGACTTCACCAACTTAGAAACTAGTGTATTTAATATAAGCACCAATTATCTACATTATCTACATCGACTCAATGTGGTATTCGACGCCAACATACACTAAGTTAATGTACTGTTCAATGCAGTTTTCTAAGCAATAAGAATATCATCAATATTATGTATGTCGTGTATTTCAATCGCTATTCAGAGGCAATATTTAAGTGAGATGGGTGTGGAATCGCACTTTTAGCAGTTTTCCGCACACATTCGCCCTAACAGCCGTTCTCCGCACAATTTTTCACAATTTTAGGTTTAAAAACCAACTTAAGAAAGTGGAGGAAAACTGTTCTGCAAACCGTACAATGTTGTAATCGACCATCATCACAAGTTCGTGATCAAACTACGAAGGAAAGTTGACCACTTTTAGGGCCTAGCATGTGATGGATCATATCATTCACGAGCTTACGGGGCCGGGGGTGGCTTCCAGACTTTGGGGCCGGAGTGATATGATCCACCATATACGTCATCAAGTAATTAACATGTAAGTTTGAAGCTTGTGGCGTATAATTAGTGATGTGATCCATGGATTGAATATAATTGACCTAGAAAATATGGGCTAGATCTGGCGTAGAGTTCATATGACAACTCTGTACATAGAAGCTACAAATTAAGAAGTGAACATGTTTTAAATTGAGACAATGTATTGGCTGGTTATAAAATGTTAAATCGATTAATAATATAATACTTCAGAATACAACAAATTACTCAATATTATTACCAAAGTATTTCGCAACAGCACACAAGTACTCAATCTTTGTTGGGTATGTCGTGTAGAAGGAACAAAGGTCGTACAGAATACTGCTGGAAATCCTCTTCTTTTTGGAAGGAGTCTTTCCAACAGCAAGCCGATCCAGATGATAATTTTTTGCTGATGTTCTTCTGAACAGACTGACAGAGATGGAAGTAACAATTGGCAACTTCCCATCCTGGCAGAATGTCCCGAAATGAGTTCATAACAGCTTTCTCAAAATCAATAAGAACAGTACCAGTGTCAGTTGGACAATTCTGGTCAAGCATCAGCAAGGACTTCTGATATCAGGTTCTGAGTCGCCGACAGGGGTTGTTCTGCAGCCTTCCTCTTGAGCGTTGTAAGGAGTTCGAGTCTCTGTGGGGTAGCCAATCCGAATCGTGGTTGTGTTGTTTAATTCCAAGGGAAAGAGTGTTGTCTGTGAGAGCAAGGTAGCACATGGCAGGACATTTAAGGGATTTGTTCTTCTGCTGTAGATTATCCGTCAGAATCAAGCACCTGTTGACATCCTCTGAAACCGTTGAGGAACTTGGAGAAGGTAGGCATGACTGTTGATAGAATGCGATACTACTACCTTCTATCACCCAATATTTATACCTAGAACACTAGATCGGCACACTCCCCTTGCATGCCTTTGACACGTACGTCTCACATCCTTGATACGAGAATCCCCCTTTAGCAAGAGCTCCCGTCCCTTATGTGATCTACGAGTCGAGCAGTCAGATCATGTTTACTTCTTAATGTACAGCTATGATTTACAGAATTGACATGTGAACTCTACCCCAGATCTAGCCCATTTCTATGTCAATTAAATTCAATCCATGGATCACATCACTAATTATACCTTTATACGTCACTAATTGGTGACGTGATCTGACCCCTCTTTGGGGGCCGGATCAGTTTCCGGTCCCAAAGTCTCCCAGTGCCGGGGGTAGGGGATCTGGCCTAGGTCACATCACCAATTATTGAAATAATTACTCATTCGTTCATAGACAAAATTATTAACCTAACCCCATGTTATAATGCTTGGGCAGCTTCCAACACACCTAGAAAGATCTACATAATCTAAGAAAATTCGCCGCATATTTCCGCATTATTTGCAAAATTTGCCGCACTTATAACCGTATCAATTGGCTAATTCACAAATTTAGAATAATCAATAGGATGGGAAATGTAGTGGTAGCCCAAACATTGAAATTTGAGAATTACGATCGTAATATCCCTGATAAATTGTTTAATTTAAAAGAGAAATATAGCTATGATAACAATGTTCTAATCATGGTATGGAATTTACTACAGACTGGGAGATGATAATATACATTTGATTTGACATGTGACAACGATTATTTAACATTGTTTGTTTACGTCTTGCACTGTTGCAAGAGAGCAGTAGTAGTGAGGAGGAGATTAGAAAACGTCGTAACATTTCGTTTTAGCCATGTATAAGATTTTGAATTTAAAATAAATCAGACATCAACATTATTTAGAGTGAAATGCGAAACATTACCTTTTGTATTCTTTTCAGAGCCATGGGTGCTGCCCTAAGAGGAGTAAAACATTGAGCGTTGGATAATATTATAAAAATCGTTCAACAAATCAATCACATTGTACGATAGGTCTAGGTTGCACGAAAAATAAACGGTCATCCTAAATCTGAACAATAGATTACAATCACAAGTTGAATAGGAGCAGACACGCTTCCTTCTCACTAAATTCTTAGAAATTTTCCAGCTTTCCAGTATAAATGTAGCATTAATCTTTTTCCAGTATGATGAGTTAAAAGAATTTTTCTCAGAAATTAGGCAGGTTGAAAGGAATATTATAATTACTGAACATATTAGTACTGATATTATTTAAACTTGAATGATGTCTCAATAGATAAAGCAATGAAACTCCACTGTCCATAGTCAAGTTTACAATTTAGTAAACGTATATATTCATAATAAAACACAAAATTGGAACATCTAATAACTGTTAAAATTGATTAAAATTTATCAAAAAGTAAATACTGTAAGTAAAAATGTACTTGAATTTAAATCATAGACCTGTCAATAGGACGTTTGACAGAATATATTATACGGAAATTTCAAAATGTTAAAAATGTTGTTAAGAGCCAAGAGGATATCCAATGATCATTGGAACTCAAAGCAATCCAAAAATTATTGTTTTAAAACAATATATTAATACAAAAGGGTCGGTAAAATACAATTTTAAACAATGCAATATAATAACTAACACCATTATTCTTTGGTAGCAAATTTCATTCTTCGGTAATAAAGTTCGTTCGTTCCTAATAAGGCCTCATTTTCTGAAATAAGATCGTCAATATAGCCCATGCTCATTTTCTGATGTAAGTCATTCACACTTAAATTCTGCTTTTTATGAACATTACTGCTCGAATTCATTTGTTTCTCCATCCCATACGTAGAAGTATAATTTGCAGATTTGTGGGTAGCGGTGTTGGAAGGTGGAACTACAATTCGAGGAGGAGACAAACTTCCGACAATCGCCTCATTTTCAGAAATAATCTCATCTATATTTCTCACATTTGAGCTCACTCTACATACTTCAAGGTTCCTATTTGACACTTCAGAAAGTTCATTGCTTTTGTTGTCTTGACTTGATACCAATAGTTCTTTTTTTGAATGGTCAGACTGACTTGGATTTTCATTAGAAAACTTGTCAGAAGAATTTGGCCTAGGAAAGGCCATTGTTTGACCTACTATAGCTTCATTCTCTGATATAATTTCATCAATGTTTCTCAAACCAAACTGTCTAACTTTGTGAGGATGAATTGACTCAAGTTGTTCATTTTGTACACGAATGGAAGCATCAACATTTTCAGGAGGAAGCATTAAATGAGGCATTGAACTACCTACAAGGGCCTCATTTTTAGCAATTATGTCATCAATATTCTTTAAGCTGATATTTCCGCTTCCCATTGAATGACCCAAATCCACTAGTTCTTCTTGCTTTAAAATTGCTGTTTCTAAGGTTGTTTTATTTAAATTTAAAGAAGATTCACATTCTGAAAGTGGAGATGATGAAGCTCCAGTTGGATCATGCTGAAAATCAAAATATAACTCTTCATTATTATCAGGGAGTTTTCCAATGATAGCTTCATTTTCCGATATCAATTTGTTGATATTTTCAATAAAGTTAAGATTTTTAGCATCATTGCTGGGATCGTTTGATTGAGGAGCATAATGAATCACTGTATCATGGTCAGTTAATTGAGTGCCAGATACCGGGCGTAAAGAAACCATAGCTGAACTTGTAGAATGTTTATCTCCTATCACAGCTTTATTGCTTGATATCAATTCTTCTATTTTCTTTAAGTTCAAATTGCGCTGATCACTTGAAAGCGAGTAGTCCAATGTCTCTTCTTTTACCCTGATGGATGTATTTAAGGAACTTACTGTGTGAGAGTCAGATGCTGATAATAAAGATGTTCCCCCCTTGCTTGTAAAAGTTGTTGATGACAAATTTCCTATCATGGACTCAAACTGTGACATAATTTGAGAAATACTTTTCACACTCAAGTTCGGTCTCTTTTCAATATCTAATGATTCCACTAGCTCATCTTTAACATTAGGAGATCGAGATTCACTATTTGCTTCGTCAGAGAGTGGGGTTGCTATTGAGGCTTTGTCATCTTTAGGGCATTGATATGATTTCGATATTTCTTTTGTATTGGCAGTTTCAATGATGGTTTCACCAGTGCTACCAGAGTCAAGTCCAGATACTTGAAGTGAGTATCTTGCAGATTTAGTCATAGATTGCAAGTCTCCAATTATAGCGTCATTTTCTGATATAATATCATCAATGTTTGTGAAGCTAAATTTTCGTGAATTCGTTCCAGTTGATGGTATTGGTCCTGTTTTAGACTCGTTCTCTGATATCAGTTCATTTATTTTTTTAAGTTTGATATTTTGTTGAACTGCACTCATGGATGGCAATCCACCTATTATGGTTTCATTTTCCCATATAAGTTCATCAACGTTTTTCAAGCTCAGCTTCTCACATCTTACCCTTTTTCTTGACAGAGAAATTGTATTCTCAATGCCATCTATCAAATCTTGGCTACGCTTTAATGCTCTTTCTGCTTTTGGAGGCTCCAAGCGCAAACATCCAGTCTTTCTATCAGTGTTTGGTACAGCATCTTCCTTCAATTTTATATGATGTCCAGCAAGTGCATTACTGCTCAATAGTTCTGCCTGAAGCAAGTTTCTGTACACAAAATCATCATCTTCAAAATGGTCACTGCAAACATACATCGAAGTAACCTGCACATCTGCATCACTAGGTTGCAGGTTGACCCTACTGATCCACTTCTTTAACAGAGATTGGTTTTTAGGAAATTTATACCACCGAAGGAAACATCTAAAGTCACTTTCATCTGAAGATCTTCCCGCTTTTATCTTAGAGCATCCATCCACACAACAAATGTGACTCATTTCGTCCTAATAAAGCATAATGTAGTAAATTCATGTCATCAAAACCTCATATAAATCTGACTGTAATATATATGATTTAGCTGATAAATCTTCAAAAAATATTCAGTTAACCCCAAATTACATCCCTTTGAAATAGCGGATGTTGCAGCAAAAAATACTGACTTCATTAAGTAGCAAGAATATTACAGCCAGAAAAATCAATTTGATAGATTTAACATATATGTGAAAGATCTGCTGGAGATGGAAAAGTAAGAAAAACCTGCATAAAAATCTGACCTTGCATTACTGAGACATTGCGCGCCAAAGTGTGCAGTTTACCTGCAATTACATTTAAAACTTTAAGTTCAACTCAAAAAAGGTAAACCTCAACTCTTGGAAAAGACTGGCCACACCCAGGACTTGATACTTGGCACAGGTGTTCCTTGGGCTGTACAGAATTATGATATTTTTCTACTTGTTCAGGCCCTTAAAACATAGACTTAAAACATAATATGTGTTTATCTTCAAAAGGATGTGAGTGACATGAGACAGTACATGAACCGAGTGCTACAAATCGAGAAAGGGTCATTTGTCCCCCTTGTATTTACCACTACAGGAGGAATGGCACCTGAGGCCAAGCGTTTCATAAGGAGACTTGCTGTGTTGATAGCCACCAAGACCAAGGAGGACTACAGCCAGGTGATGTGTAACATCAGGACATGCCGGGCCTGAGCATGGATATAATGAGGAGTGTGCTAGTAGCAGTTAGAGGTGTACGTGGAAAGGCAAAGAAGGCATGGACCGCCCCTATATCCAATGTCTCCTTCAACCTGATACCTGAGGAGAAGAGCTACGAGGGCCATAGATGATATCTATTGCTCAGGATTTACGATTGTGCTCTGCCAATTGCATCACTTGATTTAATTTATTGTATATATGAACCTGCACATGCAAGAATGGGCTAAGTAGTTTTTGGTAGTTTTGAGATAAACGAAAAAAACTATCCCATTTCTTCAGGAATTTTTTGGTCTACGTTACCTATCCCACAGAATGTTCTATAAATGGGTGGGCCAAGTTACGTAGACCAAATCAGTTTATTGGAAATAAGTTGGGAAGTAACTTGGCCCATATCACCCTGCTTTTAAAAAAGAGTGAAGACCAAAAAAGTGTAATTACTTCGTGGGCTATGTTAGCTAGCCCATTCTTGACCTGTATATCTTAGGTGGAAGTCGAGATCCATGTTATATAGCCCGTTATTGCATTCTACAAAAAAACTGATTTTACAAAAACATGCTTTTACTTCAAATTTCACATGTAGATGCGTCATGGATCCTAATTTGACTTCTAGCCACAGAAAGAAAAAATGAGCCAAGTTACTTGGCCCCCCAGGTTCATATATATTAAATTATTAACCATTCATTAAAAACGTGTAAAAACTGTAAAATATAACATGACTAAATAAATAAGGCAGATGCACCTAACAAGCAGATATCCAAGAAGGGTTAGCAGGTTTTCTTACAGAGGACTAGATAAAAATGAAATTCCCTGATACATTAAAAAATCTATGAAAACTCTATAAAAATTCTTTTAAAAATCCATAAAAATTCTATAGACTCCAAATATACAAACAATCTGAAGTTTCCAATATACAATAAAAATGATTGAAAAAGTTTACTGCAGAACAGTAACTGATGATAAAGATTAACGAGTGAAGTGGATGAGTCATGAGACTACCAGGGAGTCACTGCAGCTGGTACAAGAGCATGGGTCAGGAGCTTGGCTAACATGTCTCCCCATTCAACAGCTAGGGTATGTTTACAGCAAGCAAGACTTCCGAGATGCTGTTCATCTCCGGTATCATGGTTGGGACATCCCTAGCACTCCAAGATTCTGTGATTGTGGAGCCAAAAATGTTCAAAATCATATTCTCAACTGTAAGAGATGGGGTATGTGAACTACCGTCACAATAACGTGAGAGACAAGGTTGCTGAATACTTTATGCTGGTGACCAAGGATGTGACGATTGAGCCCCTGTTAACACCTGTAGAATCAACTTCCAACAAATGGGAAACAATGCCGATAAGGCCAGGCTCGACATATCAGCAAG